CCCCCCCCCCCCCCAATTCTAAAGTGAGAAGGGACCATGTAAAATATAATTAGTTTTTAATTGCGACTGTGTTTAATGTGTTTTTATCCTAAAATTTTCTAATTCAGAAACTTATCATCTTTTAATTTCTATGCGTGAAATTAAGGTTCAATGAATGGAATAAATTGAAGTAATTCAATTAAGTAAAAAATAATGACAATTTATTGTTTAAACTGAAATATCACCTGTCGTTTGAACTCTAAATGTTTCCTATTCCCAACTAATACCTATAAATAGAAATATGAATCCAAGAATAACTATTCCCACCTAGAATATAGAAATATGAATCGATGAAAACTATTCCCATCTAGAATTTAGAAATATAAGAAAAATGAATCTCTGAATTACTTTTCACGATAACTATTCCACCTAGAATATAGAAATATGAATCCATTAAAACTATTCCAAACTAGAATCTATATATAAATATGAATCCATGAAAACTAAAAAAATACAAAAACAAAAAAATCATTCATGAACTAAAAATTTAAATGATTATTTTCTTTAATTCATATTCTTCTAAAAAAGGTGATACTGTGACGGCCTAAGACCTTAAACTAGAAGATCCCAGGGTTAAAATAAGTATTTTGTCCTGAAAATAGCCTTATAATGGCTTATTAAATGATTTGACAAGGAAAGAAATAAGTTTACAATTGAAGGGAATCATACACGGGAGGGGGTGCAGAGGCGCCACGAGCCCCGCAGAAATGAAATTGGAGCCTCCACATTAGCAGAATTACCTCCAGGCCCCGCATAACCGTCTCCGTGCCTTTCGTCCAAGTATCCACGCCCCGCATTTTGTTCTCCAATAAAAAATATCTTGCGAATCCACCAAAAACTTTTTTTTCCCCAAAAATCTCAATATGATAAGAAGTCCAATTTTAATTGAGATTAAAGGTTTTTTTTGTTTTTCTAAATTTCACAAATTCCTGAAATTGTGAAGAACTGTAACAGTTTAGTATAAAGATAGACAAATTTTATATAATTTCACAGGGGTTTCATGTACGAATCAAACAATATCAGCGCAAATAACAAAACACAGTAGTTTTTGTGAAATCCTTGAATTTGTGCTTCAATTGTATGCTTTATGATGGTCCTCTTTTACGCATACCAGCTTCATGTAAACTTTTTACAAAAACAACTTAGGATCAATTGAATGAATTAATATTTCAAATTTGTCGATTAAACGATTCTTTAAACTATTGCGGAGTCTACTATGAAGAAATATATTTTGATTTTTGGTTGGTTCAGCCATTAAAGGTAAACAAAAAATGAAAACAACAAGCAGTGATCAAAATGCGGGGCGGGAGACAAAATGGCAGAGGCGTCGAGACAAAATGGCGGAGGCTCGGAGACGTAACGAGAGACACAGAGACGGTTTCATCGGATTTGGAGGTAATTATGCAAATCTAGAGGCTTGGGGGTCATTTTTGCAAGGCTCATGGTGCCTCTGCACCCACTCCCTCATCATACATATAATAAATAAGACGGTATAAATTATATATTATCATCCTGTAACCCTGTATTTAAAATAAATTAATTACCTTAGGTATTCCTGGTGCATGTTCCTCTACCTCTCTGACCCATCTATCCATTCCATTAAAACTCCATCTGTTGGTGATATCGTAAACTAGAAGTATTCCCTGGGCTCCACGGGAGTAACTCCTGAATTATTGATTGATTGATATTTTTAATACTATATCGTATCTTATTCTATCGTTCAATATTATGCTGTTTTTGCAGTGCTTTTAGATTCCATATAATTCTGATGCGGATCCGGATCCTGGATCCGCTATGGAAAAAAATGAATCCGGATCCGGGTCATGAACATTTCTTAAGATTTTACATATTTTTGAACTAAAAGAAAATTTTAAAGAATTTTTCTTTTTCGTTTTTTTTATGCTAAAACATTATGAATCATTCAGAGATGAAGATATTTTTGATAACATCTCTTTTCTTCCTACAAATCAGATTTTAAAGCAGAAGATTTTGCTTGCAGTTTTTTTATCGCAGGTCCAGAAAGCCAAAATGTTGCGGATCCAACGGATCGGATCCTAAGCACTGCTTTTTAATCTTCATTGCCAATAAGTCTTTTTCATGCAAGTTAAACTTAACCCAATCAAAAATCATGCTTTCTCTTTACGGTCTTTAAGTTTTAAAACGATTTTTACTTGAATAATTTTCTCAAGATTTCAATTTCCTGAATAAAGTTTCAAAAATGACAAATAGTTTTTTTGTTAGAACAATTTTTGGGTTTTTATTCAACTAGGAGCAAATAAACTAAAAAAATAACTTAAAATACTTAATTTTTTTCTGACAATTCATAATTTTTTATATTTCTATTCTGCAGCAAACTGAATGTTTGAGTATGTACTTAAAAGAACTAATGAACAATTTAAAATAAAGGGGGGGGGGGCATGAAACGTATTACTCTCCGGAAAATTTAATCAGTGTTTAAACATAACTTTGAATTGTCGTACGAGGCTGATTTTTTGCATGCAAACTCAGAATTATGTATATTACATGCATTTTTGGGTTTTGAAAGAATTTGAGCAAAAGTGCGCGCGAGCTTTTTGTAAAAAAAATGCGACTTTTTTAGCAGTAAATTAATGTTAACTTCATTAATTGCACTTGAACATTTTTCCTGACACTCTTGAAACAAATATGCACAAAAAAAAATTCACCTCCAAAGGCTTAAACGTCCGCGCGCGCGCGCAATAAAAGAAAAAATCTTTGAATACTTATGTGCTAAGTTTGGCCTAAGTTAGAATAACAGTTGCATGAGATACATCAAAATATAGCAAAATAGGGACAAGGAATTCATTTCCGAGGTCAAAATAGACATTGGAGCATTCTGACCGGCGCGCTAGTAGCCAACCATTACATTATGGGTCATCTTAGTACATTTTTTACATGTTGTATGTCGATTTTTAGGTAATTTGGCACGAGAAATTCTTTTCTGAGGTCAAACTTAATATTGGAGCATTCTGACCGGCGCGCTAGTAGCCAACCATTACATTATGGGTCATCTTAGTACATCTTTTTCATGTTGTATGTCGATTTATAGGTAATTTGGCATGAGGAATACATTTCTGAGGTCAAAATAAATATTCCAGCATTCTGACCGGCGCGCTAGTAGCCGGCAGTTACATTAAGGGTCATCTTCCCACATATTTACATGTTGTATGCCGATTAATAGGTAATTTGGCACGAGAAATTTATTTCCGAGGTCAAATTTAATATTGGAGCATTCTGACCGGCGCGCTAGTGACCAGCAGTTCCATTATGGATCATCTTCCCACATATTTTACATGTTGTATGTCGATTTATAGGTAATTGGGCACAAGGATCCATTTCTTAGTAAAAACTTTTGTAAAACTACTCTGATTGACGTGCTAGCAGCCAGCAGTCACCTTCTGGGCCATCCTGTCATACGTTTTGCATGTAGTATGTCGATTCTGGGGTACTAGAAACAACGATTCTCTTTCTTAGGTAAAAAAATTAAGTTTCATGACTCTGATCGGCGCGCTGCTGGCCGTAGGGTAATTATGGGCTCAACCTATCATAGTTTTTCATGTTGTGAGTAATTTTATAGGTATTTAGATCAGAGCAATCCATTCCTGTGCACAAAACTATTTTTTAAGAACAATGGTTAGAAGAAGAATGATATTAGAAATGAATCATTTTTCTATGGTAGGTTGAACCCATAATTACCCTATGGCCAGCAACGCGCCGATCAGAGTCATTCACAAAAAGCGCGCGCACGCACCTTTGCTCAGATTTCTTCAAAACTAAAAAATGCATGTAATATACATAATTCTGAGTTTGCATGCAAAAAATCAGCCTCCTACGACAATTCTAAGTTATGTTTAAACACTGTTTAAATTTTCCGGAGAGTGATACGTTTCATGCCCCCCCCCCCTTTGCAAGAAGATTTCCTCTTTTTAATTATTTATTTTCCCAATTCAAATTTTAATGTTGGAGAGGGCCGCCGGGGGATTAATTTTCATGAAAATATATACACCTGTTTACCTGATAATTGTACAAAATCTGCCCTGTCCTGAAGTGTCCCAAATATGTAGTTTAACCTTCTTCCCGTCTATCAGAATAATTGTTGTCTTGTACGCTGAAATTGTAAGTAATTTATTTATTAAATATAGCTTGGTAACCCGGCTCACCCCAATTTACTCTTAGTTAATCCCGTCGTTTAAACGCACTTGGTTGATTTTACTGCGAAACTAAATTTTTACTATAAAAGTCGACCCACTCAACTTATAATCTCAAAATCAGGCTAAAAATATCCCGTGGTTCTCCCGAGTTCCCCAATCAAAATTTAAGGCAAATTTGCCAAGAGGTTCCTGAGTTATGATAAAAACCTGACAAATGGAGATAACAACTTTAAATATATATAGATAGATATAGCAAGTGTATGAGAAGAAAATATTTAAAAACCTCCAAAAATAAAGGTAGAGGGAATATTTCCCTCCAATACTATAAAACATTTTAAATTATTTGGTATAATTTTAGATACACACACGGAATCCATAGATCCATCCTTGAGCCTTGTTATCATTGTACTGTACATATATATACCTGCTCCTGTAGATGTACAGTACACGGAATCCATAGATCCATCCTCCATCCCTGTTATTATTTCTTGTTTCCCAACGTCACTATCACCAACCAAAAGAACCTGAATAAAAATTTAAATTGTGTTTAATGCAATGGATTTATATATTCGATTTCTTTGTTGGTATCCTATAAACGTTTAAAAGATGGGGCCCAACTTTTTTTGTGTTATCTCACAAGACCCCAGGTAAGGTTTGGGGCTAATTAAAAATAAATATCCTATCCGAATAATAATATTAATTAACAAAAATAAAATTAAACTTACATAAAAAGGTAAATATTTTTGTTATTGCTACATTCTCTAATAAAATTATGTCTACTCTACACTAACCTTTAAGAGATAATCATAAGATTTAGAACTGCTGCTAGCCGCTGGATTAGAAAAAGGTCCTTCTGTAGAACCAGAATATGGAACATGTGGACGCTGTGCACCACTACACGGTGTAGATGATATTCTGGGGCGTGGAGTGGATGTGGTAAAAGGATGAGGAGAGAAAAGGGATGAGTGGGGTCTCATACTTTCATCCAAACTCTCGGATGAACTTCGATGCACTGTATCATCTGGATCACATAGAGCGTCTGTAAAGTCCGGATGGCTACCGTCGACACTTTCGGCGGCGGTATAGCCGAGGAGGGAGGGGTTAAATGTATCACTGAGTCTGTCATCTTCTTGATGACTAGAACTTAAACGTTCTTTTTCCTTTTCAATATCCGGAACATGTTCTTCAGGCTGAGAAATGTCTGTAAAATCACGGCTTTCTTTAGGAGAAGAATTTAATTGAATAGGTTCACAGAAGGCGTTCAAATCATCCTTAACAACGGATTGAGGAACAACCGTAGTTGGTTCGTCTGAACTACCATTATTCGAATCAGACTTTAAAGGTGTATCATCCAATTCTGATGTCACTGCGTTAGAATCTGAATCTGTTACTGAATATTCTTTCGAATGTTTCTTTAATTCTGAAACTGCCCCACTTTCATGACCCACCCTTTCAAGGGTTGCTTCGTCTGTAGGACCGGCCATGCTTATTTATGGTGAATTATTGGTGATACGGCTTTGAGGGTCAACGCTTAATTCGTCATCGCTGGACATTTTTCAATACAATCATTCTGAAAACTTAAAAAAATATATTTATCCGATAATTTCTTGTTTTAATAACAACACATTTCAAGTATTTCAAGTATTAGACAAATCAGGTGGAGAAACAAATATTAAAAGGTCGGTGTTTATGATTGTACAACATACACTTTGTACCATAGAAAACAAAAGTTGTTATTTAAAAATGTTAACCCAGTTGTGGGCAGGCTTCTGCTTTAAGTAGCCAGGGAGTATTCAACCGGGGAGCGCTGTGCAAAATTAACATGTCAGCACCACACCTTAAAACAAACAAAGAAAAATGTAGTACAGCTCGCCAGAACCAAGAAAAATAGAATCAAAGAAGAATCCTGAGAGGTTGGTGATCATGCAATAATATGACAATAAAACTTAAAAAATACTACAACTTCAATCAAGCAGTGTCACAATACATGCTGGTTTAAACAAATTTTTATTTTCTTTCAAAATTATCAGAATCAGGGACAGTCAACAGAAGGAAAAGAAAAGAGAGAAACAATGATAAGATGAAAAATCAAATAAGAATTTGTCTGTATCAACTGTATCCAATTCATAAGAAGAAAAATTCAAAAATAATAAATAGTTTAGAAAAAACATGTCGCTTTCCTTTGTTATAAAAAAGATGCTAATTAAGCCTTTTTAACAAAGTGTTGAAGAAGAAAAAATTATAACATATTCTCTAAATCCCTAAAGTCGAACTGGAGAACATGAAAACACAAGGGTATATATTTTCGTTAAATCCCCCCCCCGCCCCCATACTAGCACGTATGTTTGGTGAAAATAAATGAATTTAAGGGAAAGTATCAATATTGTTTAAAACTTGCCTTTTCATGTGCAATCTTACAATTTTTTTGCATAGAAGGCCGGGCCTCCATAATTTATAATTCATCATAAAAAAGTAAGTTATTTCCTAGAAAACGATTTTTGGCCCCCCCCCCCCCTCCAATCACTTTTGTACATACATATCATGTGTAACACATAGATATATTAGGTAAATGAAAAATATCAGTTCATAAATTGCTTCAAATAATGTCGATAAGGGAAGGCGTAGTATTAATATACTTTTTAGAAATGCAAGTTTGGACCCAAACATATGAAGACAATATCAACTAGGGACAATGAGAAAACAGAAACGTAACTTAAAGTGCCCCTCCAATTATAAAAAGTGGCATGTCCAATTCACATCGTTACCCTATAGGCCTAATTCTGATCAATACTTTGTGGACTATTTTTAAATTTTTTAATGTGTTCAAATCTAATATTTTCCTACATTGTTTCTGAAACAAAAAATGGGGTCCGTCCTAGCACACGATTTTTGGACCCCCTCCCCTCCCCCTCACTGTGGCCACAAGGTCAATTATATTCATGTCTGACATATAAGATCCATGTACAAAATTGGTAGGAGGGTGAGGGTGGGTCCAAAAATTGTATATTAGGAAATTACCCAAAAATGTATTCTAGATGGTCGATCGTTCTGATCAATGTTGTAAACTGTTGTGAATCGGACAGACCACTCAATATATATCACTTGAAATTACGTCTACAATCCCTTTGACGGTAATTTCCTAGTATACGATTTTTGGACCCCCCCCCCTCCTATCAATTTTGTACATGGGTCTGACAAGAAGTTTCTTAACTTAACCTAACCCACAATCCTCACTTAACGGCTGATGACTCAGTCTAGTCCAAAATACCCATCTTTGTTTTCAGTTTTTTACGGTTGGTGATTATTTATTTAAAATCTGTTCCGCGGCAAACGTTATTTAGAACGAACTCCCATTATCGTCTTTGTTTTTTAGATCGAAGACGAGGATTGATTTTAAATAATTATTTTTGCGGTATTGTGCTCGTCACTCTTCCTTCTCTCTTTCTTCGTGTCTATCTCGAAATTATGCTTGTAAATCAGGTTTAACTCAGAAAGAAGTATGTCTGGCATATTTCTTGGGCGTTGAAAAGTGTGCATTTTCTTTAAAAACGAGCAAATTAAATTTTATAGGGGTAACTTGGGGAATTAAAATAACAAAGGAGTTGGGGTCCGTCCTAGAGAATGATTTTTGGACCCCCCCCTCCTATCAATTTTGTACATGACCACTTTAGTATTTATTTAGGGTTAGGTTAGGTTAGGACACTTTCTGGGCCGAGCGCTGCGGCTAGGACAGAGAAGAGGGCCTAGCGCTGCGGCCACGGGTTAGGTTAAATTAAGACATTTCTGGGCTGAGCGTTGCGGCTAGGACAGGCTCATTTTTCAGATAAGAGAAAAATATAAGCTGTTGAATACTGAGCATTGATGTACCAATGAATGTTGTAACGTACTGTAGTGGTTCCTGTACTTACTGAAAAATTATACAGTGCTTTGCCTTCCATCTCCGAAAGTAAGTAAATTATGTTGTAATTAAAAAAAATTTCAATTTTTGGCGGAAGGATGAAAATAACTAAGAGTAACCTGAAAGCTCTCTGTGATATTAAACAAGGATGAAAATAACTAAGATTAACCTGATAGNGTTGAAACATTAATACCTGCCCAAAACAGTAATATTAATTGTTGGCTACTTTAGAAGAAGAGGAAGAGAGTCAATAAGAATGAAAGATTTACCTAGCCCTACTTTTCCACCTCTTGCTTCGTCTCTACTTTCTCCTCCTTCATTGGATTCAATGTGCCCTGATGTCATCTATCACATTATTCAGGTTAGTTTTTTATCAAGTTAAATGATTTTTTCTACAGAATAGAACTTTGAAGAAGAAAGACGCTGAATTCTTTGGAAACTCTTAGAATTCTTAATTATTTTATCTTTTTATTAAAATATCTAACAACTGTTCTTGGATAAGACTTATTTATGTAGTGTCACTCTTACACACTAATACGTGGTTGTTTTCTCAAGCCAGAAATCATATTTGAATTACTCATTATTCATTAATATTGATTTTTCATCCCTTCATTGACTTGAAATGTGCCAACAATTTTATTTTTGTTATTTTTATGGTTTTGGATTTTAACTTTTTAGTTTTAATTATGTCTACACTAGTTGTTCAACAGGGTTGTGAATATTCCATTGCTCAGGATCTATTTAATTTTGATCCGGATTCAGGTTATTTCTCTATTTACTGATTTTTTTAACAAAGCAGATTTTTAAAATTTGTTGTCTTATTTTTTCGCTTATTATGATGCAAAACTTCATAAAGCATGCAGAAATCAGGAAACTTTTATAATCTCTCTTTTGAGAGTAAATTAAAAAAAGTTTTGGTTCATATTTTGTCCCTTGTATCCGGATCCGTGGATCTTCATATCTTTGCGGATCCGGATCCAGGAAGCCAAAATATTGTGGATACAACGGATTCGGATCCAGATCCTAAGCACTGGAATATTCAACACATTTTTGTTCATTTGGAAAGATAAATTTCATTATTTAAAGCTGTAATGGATGTACTGTCATATGTGCGTTCTCAATGTTTATAATTCAAAAGTGAAGTTCTTTAAATGCTTTTAAAAGTACATTCAATCTTTAATGGTGCATGTTTAACAGTGCTTTCTCAATAGTTAATTCACATTTGCCCTGTTCCAATTTGTGTTATCGTTCTTGCGTCCCCAAAAGTTTGCCCTCTTATACAGTCGGAATAATGTTACATTTGTTGCAAGCTACTATGCGAGGCAGAGAGACGCATATAATCCCCCATTTCTAATAGTGTTGTTTCCGAATCAAGCATTCCACATTGACTTTAGAAGCTTTGAATAAAGAATAAAAAACTTCATCAAACAAACAAATTATTTCTAGAAAGGGGGTACTTTTACAAGAGTCCGCAGAGTCCAAACATTATTTACTTTTTAGTTCCTGGACTACAGGAGTAAGAAAGTGGTGAGGGAGGTGTCCTCTGTTCTCAGGGAGAAAGTGGAAAGTTGTGGGGATAAATCGGTGTTTTATTGGAAGTTAACTGATGAACTGATGATCAAGTTTGCTGATGATGTTAAAAAGATATTAGGTAATTTAAACAATTCAAAACTTTTTCTTCCATTGGCTGTATTTTTCTAGTTTTGTACACCTTTTTTGTTGTGTTCTGCTTTGCTTATCAAAGTGAATATAAATTCAATACTCCAACCAAAACTCTAAAATATAAAATTGTCTTATATAATAGTTATTAATTTAAGATATATCTATAAAATAATTCTTTTCACTCGTGTATTTATATTTGTTTGTGTATATGTTAGCTATAGCTGGCCAAACGGCTGGACCGAATGGGTCGACATTTATTTTGAGGAAACCCATTTGTATCCCGGGGGTAACATAGGCTTTTAAAAACCGATTTTTTTATAATTCCATGGGCCACGTTGCGCACTTCAGCTAGTATAAAATATCTTATTCCAACCGATTTTATTTGTGATATGACTGATAAGTTTATATTTTCAGGTGTACAAGTTAAAGATGCTGCAGATAATGGTGTGGAGTATCTTCTCAAGAAACATCCGGAACTTGTTAAGTTTCAGCTTGGGGAAAGAAGAATGTTGTTCGGCGAACAAGGAGAAGAAGCAATCTATTTCACGATAGCTGGACTCAATACACTATTGTCTATGCCAGGGCTTACTTCTCTGAGCATTATAAGTCGTATTGATATCAATCCTGCTAATGTAACCAAGATTATGTCCAAACAATTACAAACTTTAGATCTCTCAGGCATAAAAGATATCGATGATGCCTTCTTTCTACATATTGTAGAGCAGTGTGGGAAAACTCTGAAATTCCTGAATTTATCATATTCACAGATTTCTGGCGACAAATTGGTAGATTGTAACGGGGCTCTGCCCTGCTTAGACACACTGGAACTGCAAAAATGTAGTAGGCTCACTGTTACGGGTCTCTATCAGATATTCAAGTCCTGTGGTAAAACACTAAGATCCCTGAATTTGTCTAAAAGTGGAATATTCGTAGAATTATTTCGTTCGTACGTTGAATATTCTGGAATCCTGGCATGTTTAGAGAACCTAAACTTGAGTTGTTGTCAAATAACTGATATAGGACTTCTGCAGATATTCAAGGTTTGCGGTAAAACTATTAGATCCATGGATTTGAGTGATTCAGATATAACTGGGGAGAGTTTGGTTGAATATTCTGGAACCCTGGCATGTTTAGAGAACCTAAACTTGAGTCAATGTGAACAAATAACTGATGAAGGACTTTTGCAGATATTCAAGGTTTGCGGTAAAACCATTAGATCTATGGATTTGAGTAATACAAATATAACTGGGGAGAGTTTGGTTGAATATTCTGGAACCCTGGCATGTTTAGAGAACCTAAACTTGAATTGTTGTCAAATAACTGATAGAGGACTTCTGCAGATATTCAAGATTTGCTGTAAAACACTTAGATTCATGGATTTAATTGATACAGACATAACTGGGGAGAGTTTGGTTGAATACTCTGGAACCCTGGCATGTTTAGAGAACCTAAACGGGAGTAGTTCTCCGATAACTGATAGAGGACTTCTGCAGATATTCAAGGTTTGTGGAACAACATTAAGATCCCTGGATTTGTGTAATACATATATAACCGGAGAAAGTTTGGTTGAATATTCTGGAACCCTGCCATGTTTAGAGAACCTAAGCGGGAGTGGTTCACCGATAACTGGTAGAGGACTTCTGCAGATATTCAAGGTTTGTGGAACAACATTAAGATCCCTGGATTTGTCTCATACATATATAACCGGAGAAAGTTTGGTTGAATATTCTGGAACCCTGCCATGTTTAGAGAAACTAAACCTACAATCATGTAAAATCACTGACAGAGGACTTGTGAAGATACTACAGCATTTTGGTAAAACACTGAGATACCTGTATTTAGACAGAAAGTGCCAAAAAGAAGAAAATCTGTTGAAATACAAGAAAATGGGACTGCTGTTAGATAGTGTGACTGTCTCTTAAATTCATCGATAACAGCTGTTTTTTAGACACTCGATTTTTTCAGGTGAAAAATGGCAGTTCTTCTGGTTGTTTTAGGATTTATTGCTATCTTTGACGTCTACTGGATTCTTCGCCTCATAGTTACAAAACTGATTGCTCGATATAGAATTCCAATAAGGTAGACAGTGTTCTATTTTGAAAGAACCCCCCCCCCCCCAAAAAAAAAAAAAAAAAATCGGGCAGGGGATTAAAAATAATATTTATCAATTCAGTGCCGAAACAAGATACACAAGACACACAATGCATTTAATCTTGAACAACGTCAATCAGCTGGAACCAAATTAAAGTTTCTGAAAGCATAATTTCGAGTGACCTCCAAAAGACATGTCTGATTCACAACGGTACACTTAGTCTGATTAATAATGTAGAAGAAAATATCGCTTTTTTATCTTTAAAGGTTTTCAATTCTAATATTTTTGCAGATATGCCACAAAGATAAGCATTTTTCAAAAACCAAGATATCATAATTATTCTTAACCAGCCTAAGCTTAAACGGGTACTGTTGTAAATCGGACATATCCCTCGTAAGATGGAGAATCACTTGAAATTACGCTGACAGTCCCAATAGTTAATTTCTGTCGCAGGTCATAGTAAGGTTTGAGGCTTGTAAAGGTTTTAATTATTTAATTATATATGTGTTTTAGTTAAGTAAGTTACTTACCATCTCTTCTCAGGACAAATCAGAATAATAACCCCCCACTTTGCCAAGTTTTCATGAATAAATTTGCACATTTTCATCTATGAAAGGCATTAAATTGTGTTTAACTACTTTTTCTTTAAATTGAAAATTAGATGTAAATAATTATTGGAGCTCTCTATATTTACCTGTCATGTTTATGTTGATGATTATGAACCCACTCTTGTTCAGATATGACGAGGATTCAGTTTGCTACAATATTTGTTGGACAACTGACATCGACTATTTTTTCCACATGAACAATGGAAAGTATTTCCGGGAGATGGACTTTGGGCGATTTGATTTCTACTTTCGGACTGGGTTCTCTAACTATATTCAAACAAGAGAGAAAATGTACTTTGTACAGCACGGTGCCTGTATCAGGTAATGTTGGTGTTTATTAGGATTCAAGGGTGTTTATTTTCTCGAACAATCCTCCCCCTCCCCCCTCCCTTTTTTTTGAAAATCATAAAAGAAGCTATATAATATACTAGCTTAAGCGTTGCCCGTAGAAATTTAAAAAATCAAATTTTGAAAGAAAAAAAACACAAGGTACTTACTTTTTTTCGTAGCATTTTTTTTTGTTTTTATTACCTGAATTGGGGGAAATAAATGATTTTAGGGGGAAATAAATTTATTTTTGGGTTCAAGTATCAAAAATTAAAAAAAATGAAACTTGTCTTTCGATTTCCATTTTTTCATTTCCCTCCCAAAGCATTAAAAATCATTCGCTCCCAGCAGTGCTTAGGATCCATTTAATTTTGATGCGGATCCGGATCCTGGATCCGCACTAGGAAAAAATGGATCCAGGTCATGGACATTTCTTTAACCCTATCCCCGCTGGGGTACTTGAAAACCAGGATACGCTGGAAAACAGAAGGAGAATTTTCAAATTATTTTTCTTCTTTTGTCGTTTTTTTATGTTAAAAAATTGATGAACCATTCAGAGATGAAGACATTTTTCAATCTCTCTTTTCATAGTTCAGATTTGGGTTTTAAGAGCAAAAGGTTTTTGTTTAACTGAGCAGAAAACAGTTCTTTCTGTAAACAAACAAAAAAATCAGAAACCAGTTCTTTTTTAAACAAAAAAATTGAATTTCATATGGCATCCAAGTATATTTTCTGAAGATAAATAAACTGTTTTAAAAAAATAATTATTTAGGAAATATTTCACTTTTTTGCTGTGAACTCGGGAGTAGTTGTAGTCATTAAAATCTTGCAAAAAATATGATTATTCAATTATTATATTTTGTTAATTAGGTATCGTCGCTCGATCGACTTCCTTGTCCCCTTCAAGCTGGTGACGAGGCTTGTATACTGGGACGAGAGATCGCTCTATTTCGAGCAGAAGTTCGTCTCTCTTCACGACGGGTTTATCAGAGCTGTAGCCCTCTGTAAAAATACATGTGTCGGGGGAACTGTCAAGGTAGGTTTTCGCATTAACGGATACATATTTGCTTTGACATTGAACAATATTTCCCTCTCCTCTTTCCTGTCGCGTAAGTAAAAAGTTTTTAAGATTTAGCTGAATTGAGAAAAAAAATGAATTTTCGGGTAAAAAGTATTTAAAAGTCTTAAGAGTGTAGAAACTTGCAAGCTGATTTCAAGTGACGTTGTGAATCTGACATGCCCTTCTTTTTTTTATAAATGAGAATCACTTGAAAATTATAGAAATTATAAGTGTTGAAATCTGTTCTAAAAAGAACAGTTTGAAAAATATTTTTAAATAGTTCAGGTAAAAAACACATTTTTTTAACCAAATGTTTATTTTTCCTTTAGTCACAAGTTTGGTATCTGTTTTTATTTTCTTCTTACTTTTCCCAATGCATTGATGAATTGTAAAAAGTTTCAAATTTTTCTCCAAAACGTTGTTTGAACTTCTAGGACATGTTCGCTAGCCTTGGCCTGCCTGCTACTCCTCCCCCTATTCCGGAAGAAATTCAACTCTGGATTAGATGTCAAGAAATATCATCAAACAGGCTCAGAATTACAGGTTGGCATTTAGATTCAGGGTGTATATTTTCTTGAAAATTATCCCCCCTTTTTGAAAAAAGTCGATGGTTTCATCGCCGAATTAGGGGGAAAACTATCAAAAAAGATGAAAAACTTGCCTCTTGCCTCTTGATGTCCAAACTTTCATTTTTTTCCATATCATCGAAATAAATTTTTTCCCTGCCCCTGTGGACTTATTTTTCTTTTTTGCTCATTATTTGATTTTGAAAATGATAGAATATGATTAAAAATCATGTTTTTGTTTTCTCTTTCATTTCATGTAAATCTAATTGTCGAAAAATTGTATTTTATTAAAAATTCCATATATGCTTTCAGGTCAGGGTCGAAGTGAAGGTACTTCCCTTGCTGCCCTAGATCCAACCCAACAAGATGAAGCAACACTTTCTGAAGGTTTGGCGTTTAAGGCTGAAGGTTTGGCGTGTGAAGTTCAAGGTTCGGCGTGTGAGGCGGCGTGCCTTGAACCAGAAACGTGTAAGCCTGCTCCAACATTTCCCACCGCAAGTACGTTTTTAAGTTATAATTTACAGGGGTGGAGATATTTTTTAAAAATATTTAAAGAGATTAAAAAAAATTTCCAAAAGGCATAAGAACAATTTTTTGTCTTTGTGCGTCAGCTAGTAGTGTTCAGTACTTGTCATAAGTTATGTATGAAGGGACAGAGAATAGATTCAATACCTATTTTGTGACCAATTTCGAAGAGCCAGCCTAAATATGTTTTATTTACTATGTCTTATGTCTTCTTTACCCTTTTGGAAAATTAGCATATTCCCAGAATTCCTGATCCACAGGTATCATTCAGCTGCCATTAACATGATGGGGCAACATCATTTCTCTATTGCGCACTATGATATTTATTTCTGGTATAGCGATACAGAACTCAGACCCATGAACTTAAAAACAATCAATCAGTCACGGTTGCAATAAATATTAAAGTTGGCTATATGCTTTTTAATAAGCTCAGAATATAAAATTAGCCAAGTTACGGGAAATTTTGCTCCAGGTGTGCAAAGTGTAACCAAGTTATGACTGTGTACAATTACATCGTTGAGATTACCTTCGACCAGGTGTACGGAGAGGGGTGGATCAGATAAAACTTATTCTAAGAGATAAATCAGGAATTTTAATTAGTTTCTATTTAACTTCAAAGTTCTAAGCCATTTAAGAATGTGTTTTCAACTTTTAGTTCATTAGTTCTGGTCAGGTGGTGAAACACCAGAAAAGTTCTGAATTCACTTGTATAGAACATATAGAACATAGAATTCACTTGTATAGAACATAACCGAGTTTAAAGAATAAATATCTAGAAATGATTTAAAAGCATTTACATTTAGATAAGATGTTTCATAAACGTATTATTGCACCACCTGGAGCGACAAAACTGGATAACAAAGTTATCTTAGCCCATTGTGGTCTGAAATATATAGACAATATAATAATTTAAGAGTTTTCCAACATTTTTATACTTGGACGATAATAAAAGCTATTTAGGCTTGATTATATAGAACTTTTAAAGCTGGAGTTGTAAAATAGAATTTGTACAAAGTATATAAAACTTTAGTTTAGATCTCGATAAAATTCTCAGTTTATATTAAAACACAATTATATATATGAAGTGAAGAAAATAAGAGCAGGGAATAGAAAGAGATTTTTGCACAGATCTTCATGTGCTTCTTCAGATCATGGTTTTCTGATTCAACCTGAACATCAAGAATTAAACCATAATTCTTACAATGTACTTTTCTTCAGATTTTTGTCTTGACACGTCAGCTATTAGAATAGAAATAAAGACAGGGGTATAGGGGTTGTGTACATTTCACATTGAAGTTTCTAACTGTTTTTAGTTGTTAGAAAACAAGACTTAGTATTCGGTATTACTGAGAAATATTCTCTCTCAGGAGTTACATACAGGGTGTCCCACGAAACATGACACTATCAAGACGAATTGATGGTCGTCTTTGAGGTTTGAAATAATTTGCGTCATTCAGTCGTAAACCTTATTTTAAAAGTAAAATTCTAGAGTTATTAATAACAAAATGCCCCTAGTCTTGGCATTTCCAAAATGTGGTCTAACTTTTAGGTGGTTTTAAAATTACCGGAGATATGCAGAATTTCGTCCTTATTTCGACAATTTTGGTTTTATTTAATAAAATTGAAATCTGAACGAAATTCTTATTATCTCCGGTAATATTGACAGCACAAAAAAAGGCAGACCACATTTTTGAAATACCAAATTATTGTGGTTATTGTTTCAAGAATTAAACATGTTAATAAAGGTTGACGACTGAATCAAAGAAATTCAAAGTTCAAAGACGACTTTCAAATCATGTTTCGTGGGACACCCTGTACAAACCTCAGTTGAAATTTGTAACTTAAAATTTTTGTCATTATTATATTGTTTAGATGACTGGGAGGTTCTGGATGATAAAAAGGAAGCTTAATTTCAAGTTTCAAGGCTATCAATATAAAAATTTAGTCAACTCGTCAATCTATTGAACAAACATAGTATTATTTTAATTTTATTTAGATTAGCGCTTCTATTAAATCTAATAATTTATTTTAGTTTGGTTTAGTCAGTTCTTATTTCAATTATCCTGTATGTATTTACTATTTAGATTTGTTAGATCTTACTATAATATTTAGTTTTTTCTTTATTATTTGTTCTGTAATACTCATTTTCAGAATTTTTGTGACATTTAAGTGACACCCCTCCTCCAGTGTTATTTAACTTCTGAAACAGTTAGTTTCCTATAAAGAAAATGTAACCCCCCCCCCCTTTATGCTTTAGTCGAACCCCAATTAATCAAACCAACATTTGTTAAATTGTTCAGATGGAAATTATAACCAACTACTACTACTTATACGGGAGGTATTAAGTTAAGAGGAATCCCAACGCTAGAGTCTTGGAGGCCCTCGGCAAGTGGGTTGCCTCTTTAAGGAATCCTCCATTCAAAGATGGCAATGCCCGATTTACAACCTTAATCTGGTAAAAAATGTGGATGATAACGTCGTTTTTCGGACTCGGAAAGGTATTCAGTTCTGTAAGTTTCTCCATTGCTTCTTACAAGCAAGAAATGCGCATTGCGCAAGTCACTTTCGGAGAGAAACCACAAAATGAAAATAAACAGGTTAAAGAAACAACATGAATATATAATTAATACTTGATCAGACTAAGCTTTTAAATGTTACCGTTTTAAATCGGACATTGCGCTTACAGTCCCTTTAATTTATTTATCCTCATGAGAACTCTCCGGTTAAATAGTAAATAATCGTTTAATATTTGTTTATCCTCATGAGAACTCTCCGGTTAAATAGTAAATAATCTTTAAATATTTGTTTAGACGAAATACTCAATCCTCGTTTTTAAATTTATCCCTGTGTATGTTTTAGTCAGTTAAATTGTGATCTAAAATTGTTTTTGTTTATTATTGGAAGCTGCAATACCATTTAAAAACTTTATTGAAATGCTTGTCGACGTTGTGTAAAGAGTTTCATACCAGATTCATAAAGCTACCAGTTAAATTCGAAGTCAATTTTATAGGGAAACTGCACTGAAAAATAATTAATTTTCAAAATAAAAAGGTTACCTCAATCTTTTTTCCAGAGTCCAAGCTTTAAAGGGGACTAATGTGAATCGGGTGTGAACCTTTTTTTGTTAATGCTGAACTCCTAAAATATAATTCAAATGTTATTTATTATTAATTAATCAAAATGTTTGTTAATCAGCACGGCCTTGTTAACACTTAAAATTATATATTTTGACTTGTGCATTTATCAATTAGAAATCTACTTTTTGTTGTATACTTTCGGAGTCTCTATTAGTGCCATCTTGTGTTAATTTTCTGAACTTCAGAGACAAAATGAGTTTCTGGAGAGCCGCCGGTCTAAACTATATCCAGTACAGCAACATCGCAGCTAGATGTGTGCGACAGGCACTTAAAAAGGAATTGCAGGTAAGAAGTTAGAATGAAAATAAATACGTACGTTGCTATTTGAACAAGTTTTCATTCCTGCTTAAATAAGTTTAAAAGTGCTGTTGAGTGTTGAAGGTCATTAAATCTTTCAAATTTAGCTTCAACCGATGAAACTTTGTGATAGGTAGGTGTGCCGTACCTAGATTAACCACATAATTTTATTTTTTTTGGGGGGGGGGATTTTAGGACATCTTCGATTAAATCAATGTAAAATTAAAAAGTTATTGCTAGATTTATCTTTTAAAAGTTTCCATTTTTCTGCCAATGATTATGTGTAAATGAAAAATTTTGGCAACGTTTTTTTTCATTTGTTACTTTTTCCTATCAAATTAGATTTTTCTCCTTAAAGGGACTGTAAAGGAAAAATAAAAGGGGGTATAGGCTGAAACCTAAGCATTTTATGAGTTGATCGAGACCCATGAGATTACTATGTGATGTTCATGTCCCAATAAATTGATATAAAACTGTGTCAAATTTATACGAAAATCTATATATTATATATTTAGAAACAATTACCGGATTTTAGCTCATGTCGCGTTTTCGGAACATATCCTGGTTTGAGACAATTACCGGAATTCATATCGATGTCAATTTTTAAGCATTTACGCACTTACGTAACAAAATAAGATTTTTTGAGAAGGTAAAATATATACAAAAGAGAGAATAAAAACAAAAAGTTCTTTTATGATTTAAAAATCATTACAGCATTGAGAAATCAAAATATTAATATCATTTGTTCTTACAATATAGATATAACTAGAAATACGGGAAACTTTGTTTTAAATGTTTGAAAATAAATCATCGATATTCTCTAATTTAACAGATAAAATGTGGAAACTTAGATTCTGGAAATAATTCAGAAGTTAATTTAGTCTTCAGAAGATAATTTTTGTTTTCAGTAAAGTAATGAAAGTTAGCTTTTCTCTGAAAGGCGGACTAAACTAAAAAACGGGAAAGTGGGTTTTGTCTCGAAAACGCGACAATGATTCAAATTCAGGATATGTTCGAAAATGGAAAACCTGACATTGTCTTGAAAACGGCCAAGAGATTTAATATAATAAGAACTCCTATTATTATTTTGATTCAAAAAAAGTTTAAAATTGTTGTCCCCGTCATGTTTAATAAAATGTTGGTTTTAGTTTTTAACATTTTATTAATCGACTTTTACTCTGGGATATGGGCCGGGATCACAAGAATTCCCAGTCTTTCAATTTGTGCCAAGTGTTAGGTTTGGAACTAATGTCCCCTGATCCCCTGAAATGCTTAGGTTGCAGCCTAATACCCCCTTCATTTTCCTTTACAGTCCCTTCAAATTAACAATAAATACTGTTGAGGTTGATGCTGAGAAGAGAGGATTGACCAACATCAAGTTCCAGAAGTTCGAGAAGGGGAAGGCAGTTGGACCCAAGCAGTAGACATGATGCTAATGTCTTGATGCTCTCGATATTGTGTATTTCTTGCATTTTTCCAGGATATATCGTTTTTTAAATTTCAAGGATTTTCTCACAGATTATCCTGGATTTTTTACCAATTTCTATTAAACTTCTTTTTATGCATTTATTTAGAAATTTTGCATTTAATTGTTTATTTCTGTATCTGTGCATTATATACATTCTGTGGTGAGCAAAAAAATGAGTTTAGTCTTATGTAGAACTGAATGAATATTTCAGATAGAATGTGATGCCAAGATGGCGTACACATTTCAGCCTCTGGAGGCCGCGTTAGGTAATAATTCTGTGTAAAGTACTTTCCCGATGGCATTTACCCAAGGGCTACTTTCCTTAGGCGCCGCAGGCTGCAATGGGGGGCCAGCGCTGCGGCTAGGGCGGGAAAGGGGGCCAAGTGGTGCGGCTAGGACAGATTTGGGAAGTTGCCGCTTTGGAAATTGTACACTTGTGAAAATACCCTGGGAAGTTGCCGCTTGGGAAAAGTCTTTGGGAAAGTTCCTAACATCAATAACTTGACTCAATTACGCCAGGCAGGTAGAAACTTTTGAAGAATTTAATAGTCAGAATTAAATATAGATTAGGGAAACTTTTAGTTTCAACCATCTAAATAGTTCTCATTGGCCGATAGCAGATTTTTCGTAGCTTCTTATTGGTCGATATATTGTTTACAGGATAGACATCCAAATAGATTATCTCTATAAAAATACGGAAAAGGTCAAATGTGTTTAGAATATTGGTTGGGATCTGTGATTGGTAAGCTGGCACAGTGTCTGATGTCCGTTGTAAGCAAGAAATATACCTTAAGACCCTATTTATTTCCCGATTGAAGTGATGTAAATTGTAAACTCAAAGTTGAGATTTCATATAGTACAGTGTCAGTGTCATTTTGAGTCTGAAGTATGGAAATTGGACGTCCCTAAAAGTATGATTTAATTTTATTATTTGATTTTTTTTCTGAAAGGATAATCTTTTCAAAAGTTCCTACCTTTGATTATTCAGTGAAGATATTAGTTAGTAAGTTGTTTTAGGACCTGTTTTGTTAAGTTCTTTATAAATATTTAAAACCATTTCTATCGGTGCTTAGAATCCATTTAATTTTGATGCGGATCCAAATCCGGATATGGACCCAGGTCATGATCATTCCTTTAAGATTTACTAATTTTCAGAACAAAAGAGTTTTCGAAATTCTATTTTAAAACTTTTTAACTTTTCAGAGATGGGAATATTTTTTAAAATCTCTTTTTTTAACAGTTTAGATTTTTTTGTGACAGCAAAATTGTTTTGTTTGTAGTTTTTGGTTGATATTTTGCACCTTAAATCCGGATCCGCATATTTTTGGGGATCCGGATCCAGAAAGCCTTAATGTTCCGGATCTTAAGCACTGATATCAAGTCTAAAATATATTTATGTGTTTTCTTTAGATTCTCTTGGTGTAAATTATACTGATGGTGTTACAGTAAGAATATCAGAAAAGTACACGGTAAGGTTATTTTTGTGCTTTGGGCCAGATTTGATTGATTGAATTTCGTTAGTGGAAATGTTTGTTTTTTAATTAATCAATTCACGCGGGTGAATTGTTTTCATTTTTGTCCAAACTTACGAAAAGAAGAAAAAAATGCTTTACAAAAAATTGTCCTCACTTCAGTGGTTCTAGGATCATATTAATTTCGATCCAGATCGCAACAGATTAGGATCCGACATTTTTAAAGTTTTCTTATTCTTTTTTTCTCGCTTGGTTTATTTGGATGCTAACTTGATAAAACATTTATTTGAAAGGAAATTTTTAATAATCTCTAATTTTTCAACAGTTAAGATTTGTGATTTTTTTCTCACATTATTTTCCATCTTAGAGTCGCATTCGTGGATCAGGATCCAGGAGTCGGATTCGTGGATCAGGATCCAGGAAGCCAAAATGTTGAAATCCTGATTCGGATCCTAAGCACTGATTTTTTAAATTAGCGAAACAAATTATTTAATCTCGTATTATCTCGTATCATGTAGAATGTGCAGTAGAGTTAGTTCGGGTTTGAAATTTTTTTTTAATAGATCCATGTTTTACGTTTAGTCCTGTTAAATAAAATGATTATAAGAGGACATAACGATGTGATTTTCATGTTTGATTGATTGATTGATTGATTGGTTTAGGTAAACTGTGATCTAGTCGGGGTTGAATCTCTTCTCCATGAAACTGATCCTAAGGTTTTATTTTTATTCTTGTATACTGTTTGTGGCAACACCTTTCTTTAAAATTTCTTTAATTTTGGTTGAGTTCTAGCTTTTTTCATTTACTCTTTTTATCGATTTTCAGAGGCCACAATTTTAACGCTTAGTTTCGGGCCCTAGTTTCAATAGTTTCCACTTGAACGTTCAAAGTTAGGCCTAGACCCGACTTAAAGAGTTTTGCCTAAGTTGTAATTTTGAATAAAACTTAACTCGTCTCAAAATCAATGTTTGAGCTTCATTTTTGTCTAAATCGCAGCTTAGTCTTGAGACATATTTTCTCAGCAAATATTGAATTTGTTCTAGGTTGAAAACCCAGCTTTGTCTGGAGACTGAACTTTCCCTAAAATTGTCAACCTACTCAATTTAAAATTTCTTAATGATGCTAAGAATATTCCTGTAGTTCTAGCGAGTTCTTGATCAAAATTTTAGGCAAATCATTGGTTTAGATTAACATACAAACAAACAGAGATCACTGCTTTATATATATTTATCTATCTTCAGGTTCAGAGTCTCCATGCAGAGTATGATACTGGGTTCGAGAAACAGGTTCTCCGGGACCTTCACAAATACAGAGAGGAGAAGGAAAAGAAAGATGAAGAGAGAAAACAAAGAATCATAAAATACGAAACTAGGCGAGCTGAAGAGAAGGAACAGAAAAGAAAGGAAGAAGAGGAAAAGGCTCTAGAAGATGAACGTAAACATTTAGAAGAGATTGAACGGGAGAAAGAAGCATGTTTAGCGGAGGAGAAGAGGAGAAAGGAGAAGGAAGAGGAGGAGGAGAAGCAAAAGAAGAAGGAAGAAGAGGAGAAGTTACGACATGAGGAGGAAGTTGAATGGAAAAGGTTTGAAGAGGAGCGTGCACGTAGTGAGAGCATCTCCAGAAAACAGGAAAGTTTAAAAACACAAATCCAAATAAAAAATAGTTATTTGACCAATTTGCAATATTTTCCTCATAGCTGGGGGGGGGGAGGGGATATTTTCTTGAAAAATCATTTTTCTTACCCCCCCCCCCACACCATTTCGAAATTATTTATTTTTTCCAGAAGTAAGATACGTTTGCGTGGAGTTGAAAAAAAATTTTAAGGGAAAATTGGAGAAACTTAATTATTTTATGAGAAAATCGATGAATTTTTGGGGAATAGGTATAAAAAAGAATGAAAAAAGTTGACTTTTGATGTCCAATTTTTCTTTTTTTCCCCTGAATCATCAAAAAACCTTTTATTCCAACCATGAAAAATACCAATTCTGAAAAATATACACCCCTGTCCCCGTGACAGGGGGAGTGGTTAAGAAAGAATTTGGGAAAAAGAAAAATTGTACTTACAAGGGCTTTCCCCCACATTTTTTCTTCTTTTTATCCGAAATATTTATTTCCCACTTAAAATCATGTTTGTTCTTCAAATAACGATAAAAACCCTAAACATTGAAGAGGGATGGGACAGGCCATGGGAATAGGGATTTCTAAAATCTCAAATTATGTGCGAGTTTTAAAATTAAATGTGTCATATAGTTTTGCCATGAAATTCCTAACCTGTTAATGATTTCAATCCCANTCTCCCTCCGGTTTATTTAGAATACATCGCTCATAGTAATAAACACACTCTTATCTTCCAACTCTGTTTGTTTCTTTTTCCGTTACATTGAAGTTAAACAAAAGGAATAGTTAACATATGAATATACACTCAATAAGAAAGGATTGTAAATTGTGGACTGTAGATGCAATTTTTATGTGACCTTCAATCCCTGATTCACAACTGTACATTTAAAACCTTTTTTCTCATCAATAATGTGGGAGAACTCGAAAGTGCTACATTCTGTTAATTTCCTTCATTGTTTCTGTAGTAGGCATCACTTTACTCAGCGCAAACAGAAAATCATGGGGTTTCTCATTAAATGATCAGACAAAGCTGTTTAGGATACAGTTATGAATTGGACATGCCACTCTAATTATATAGAAAGGCACTTAAAATTACGTCTCTTTAACCAACCTTAATATTGTTATGTTAGTTGAGTTTTTAAACTGGTTTTAGACCATTCTTAACGGAGTTGAACCTAGCCTTACATCGGAGCCCAGTGATCATCAGCACCATCAGTCGACTATACCCGAACCTGAACCTTCCAGTGATATTAACTTTAGTCTAGCCAAACCTAAATCTATCCAAACTAAACATGAACCTCCAGAAAACCAGGATAAACCTGAACCTACCTTCAGCCAACCCAAGCCTAATCAACCTGTGATAATAAAACCAAACAAACCGGTCGCCATTAATTTTTCAGGTTTGTTCCAAAATAATTATTTGCAACTACTTTACAGTGAAGTAGGGAACTTTACTTTTCAAATATTTCTCAACACCAATTTTGCTTATAAAATATCCCGAGAAAGTAGTTGTATAAAATTTTATCGTCTTTTTAGATGAAAATCGCAAATTTTTTCACGAAAACTTCGCAGCGCGTTATTTTACTGAATTGTCCCAAAGGACATTAAATAACTTAACGTCCCTCTGTTGGGGTCAGGTTGGTCAAAAGACGGTAACATTTCTAATCTTGAGGCATTTAAGAGTTAATTTTTGGATTCAATGTTGTCGTTCTCTCGTAGATTCAATTAATTCCCCCAAAACATTAATTTTCGTGGAAATTCGAGAATTCATCCCTTTTTGGCATTTACTGCATGAAAATTGAAAGTGTTGCAAAAATAACTTTAGCAGATTTTAATTTTATTATTTGAAAGATTTCGAGGCGGAGGCAGATGTGTTTGCGGATATGGAGCTTAGAACTATAAATGATTTTGCGGAGTTACAAACAATTCTTGGAGCCGGTGGAAATATTGGAGTCAGTGGGCATCATGGAGCCAATCATGGAGCTAATTCTGCTGTTCAAGTTGTGAATGGATTTTATGGAAACTCTCCTGTGATAGGATCAGGTCCTTCCTACCCAAACCAAACCCGACAACCTACCCTTTACCAAGGTTAATCTCATTTTTTTAAACAATGTTTTTCATATCAAATGTTTTTATGGGGTTCGTGTGGGTAGATGAACCGTTGTAGCCTAGTTTCACAGTCGTACTACCAAAGGTACAACCCTGGTCACACTATGGTTATGCTCTGCTAGAGAACTGTAGATAGCTATGATAGCTTGACTGAAGACAAAGAAACCGGGCAATGGCATCCATGTTGTATATGTTTTTTTTATGGCTTTTAGAACAGCTCGCCTTTAAAAAAAGAATTAACTTATTTTAGGTAACGACACATTTTCTCAACAAAGTTCGCAGGGAAATATATTTTTCATCATCAAAATAATAATAAAACAACAAATCTTGATTTCAGTTCCCATAATAACCAACAAAATAATGTTGCAGTTTGCACATAATATTAGACGTTGAATCCTGTATGATTATTTTTACTCAAAATATGTATAATTTATACATAAATATATGTATATATATGTTTAAAATGAAAAAAAAAACATTTCTGTCAGGGATATCCTACAAACCCTTTCTCCAACATGTCTTCCTTTCCTCAAAGGAACGGTTTATCAAATGGAACCGGAGCTGAGGGAACAAGAGGAGCATTGTTCCAGTCTCCAACCTCACAATTATCCTTCCAGGGAACACCAATCTCCCAACAGGCTTTTCCTAGACCTCCAACTTCCCAACCATCCTTTCCTGGGTCCCAAATCTCCCATCAGACATTTTCTGGACCACTTACTTCCCAACAGTCATTTTCCGGAGTCCAGGTTTCCCAACAGTCCTTTTCCGGGGTTCAACCGTCTTTCTCCGGGCCCCAATATACCTGGGCGGGTTCCCAAGGAACTCAATATCCTAACATGTATCCGTATCCTGGATGTACTGGATATCAACCCAGTGATAAGTTCTTCCCAGCTGTATTCCCACCTGGAGTAAACAATCCTGGGGAACATACTCCTAGGCAGAGTAAACCTCAACATCCAGGTATTGAAATAGTTATCTGGATACGTTCTTAACGGTAATAATTGTTCTTTTATTTTTAAAAGATGTTGCCCAAAAATAATTTTTGTATCTCAGTTTTCAAGGTTTGGTCAAAAAATAAAAGGGGAAAGGGGCTTGGGGTGTTACAGGGAAAAATATTTAAAAGTTGAAGTCTTTGTCCTCGAGATAATAAATCTGAACTCTGAGCCTAGCAGGGGTGTAAATACACAGTAAAATGTATATTTTCATTCATAAATAAATAACCTATAAATCGACATACAACATGTAAATATGTGGGAAGATGACCCATAATGAAACTAGGAGGGTATGGGGTAATAACGTTAGGAGCCGACAGTACAGTGACACAATTGCTAAGTTTCCATCTTAAGTCTATAAAGACGATTCTTATCTTCACTGTTTATCTAGGTTTGGATAAGGCAAGGTCTGATGGTTCCCAGCATCCATCTAGATCAAAATCTTCAGATAGATCGGTCACGAGGCTTAATGGCGAGGGCCCTAAAGGTTGGTTTTTATTTTTGATTCGATCTAGACAATAGTTAAAAAATAATTTTTGAGTTGTTAGCAGAAATAAAAATTATTAAAGCATAATTTGTTCAAGATACCGCTTCTCGACAATGCTTGTACTCGATATCCACACTGGAAACTATATTTTAGAGCAATCAAATGCTCGATCTGCAACTCGCATATTATTTTCTCTGATTGGTAGAGAGCAAATTTGTTGTGGCTTCTGATGGGTCGGGCATCTAAAAGAAATTAGAAATTAAGACCACAACACTACCACGACCTCCGACCTGGGATATATTTTAAAGGTACTGTAAGCTTAATTTTAAATGAACCTTCATGCAAAAACTGCAATGCCAGATTTACAACTCGTTTTTCCAACCCGAAAAGTGTTTATTTCTGTGAGTTTCTCTGTTGCGTCTATTAAACAAGGAATGCGCAAGTCACTTTGCAGAGAACCCGCAAATAAAAATAAACAGTTAAAGGGAGTGTTCGCGAAAAATGAAAGGGGGTATAGGATTAATGCGATAAAAAAGCGCTTTTGATCGCTACTAATCTTACATCTATCTGTTACGTCTATGAGAAGAAAATTGCTTAAGACGTCTCATACCGAATAACATGGCGTCCATACAAATTGAAAAAATTGCAACATATAACTTAGACCGTAAAAAAATCAATTTAATTTCAAGCAAATCATTCAGATATTACAGCCTATAGTCATCGATTATCTTTCGCCACATTTATATGTAGTTGATTTTTCATAATATGTTTTAATTGTTATGATCTGAGAGTTACTAATAAAAACATTTATTCCCGTTTCGAGGATTTTTGGTAATGAAGACGACATTTTCATATTTTACAGGAATGTTCGAAAACAAGTTGTAAGCTAAATACTATTTTAAAAAACAAAATCAAAACTAGTATGAAATATCAAATATATACAAATGTGGCGAAAGATAATCGATGACTATAGGTTGTAATATCTGAATGATTTGTTTGAAATTAAATTGATTTTTTACGGTCTAAGTCGTATGTTGAAATTTTCTCAATTTGTATGGACGCCATGTTATTCGGTATGAAACGTCTTTAACAATTTTCTCCTTATAGACGCAACAGATAGAAGTAAGATTAGAAAAGATCAAAATCGCTTTTTTATCGCATTAAGCCTATACCGCCTTTCATTTTTCGCGAACACTCCCTTTAAGAAATAAAAACATTTTTATAAAATTCAAACTAGTTCATAAAAAGCGTTGTAAATCGGACATTGCCATCTTTGCATGGAGGATCTCTTGAAATTACGCTTTTAGTCTCTTTGAGTGAAGATTTTTTCCTTAGACTTTAATTCAATTTGTTGTGTTAAGATGATGATAAGAAGGTGGGGACAGGAGAATTAAAACCTAGCCGCAGTGTTGGTGATCTTATATCCGAGCTGCAGAAGGAAGCTGTTCTTATTGCAGAGCATAAACGAAAACTAGTTCAAACTCCACCACCAAGGTCAGTAGTATTTTCTTGATTTTTTTTTTTTTCCTTGTCACTACTGCAAGCATATCTTCGTCAGTTTGGCTCAGAAATAGTTTTTTATAATTTCAAGCGACCCAACATTCAGAACGGTACCTTTAAAACCTTTATCTAATCAATATTTTAGCAGATATTTTAGCTTTTCTAGGTTTTAAAGTGTTTAGTTTTGCTAATTCCTTCGTGTTTCTTGCAGAAGAAATGCGCAAATCACTTTTGTAGACAAACCACAATTGTAAATAATCATTTTTCCTAATTTTAAACATTGATATCTAATTCATACTTATTCAGACAAAGCTTTTTAGGGCACCGTTGTAAATCGGTCATCGCCATCTTTACATGGAGTCCGGAGGGTCACTTGAACTTACGCTTTCAGTCTCTTTAAATTAAGTGTCACTAAAAAAACGTTGACTGTCCCTTTAACAAACATTGTTTAGGCCTGTTTCCCGCGGCCAGAGCGGTCTGGAAGATTGGGTTCCCTGGCCTAAAATAGGTAAAACAATTAACTATTAAAATTTAAATTTTTCATATTATTAACTTACGAATTAAACCTGTGGGGCTGATAGCAGTCTCCTTGCCAGCCTTTTAAGTTGGACTGTACACTTACAATAAATGACTTGAGGAAATTTTGGCCTAATCAAATATGCAGTACGCTCTCGGTGTTTTCTCTCTCCCCCCCCCCCCCCCCCCCCACCCGGTTGCAAAAGAACTAATTTGTTGCCTCTAAGTCATATTTTGTAAAGCTTTTCAACTTTATGTCGTCATATATTTAAAACGATTAATGCAGTTACATCAAATAGTCAACGTTCCAAATATTAAATATTTACGACATCAGGGTGCAAAGATCAAAGGATTAGTGGATTTGTGTTCTTGGAACGTAATAAGGTTTAAGAATGACAAATTGTAGGTGTAGAAGACCCTCTGGATGGTCTGGGAGAGAAGGAGAAGGAGATGTGCTCCCAGATTGGTGAGATGGGGTTTCCAATCTCCAGGCTTGCTACTGCAGCCAGGTAGGGATAGGTTTTCTCTTATTGTTATCAACTTATCCTTCTATTCTCTTATTATTATCCTTCTCTTCTCTTATTGTTAACCTTATCTTATTTTATTGCTAAACTTCTCTTTTCTTATTGTTAACATTCTCTTATTGTTATCCTTCTCTTCTCTAATTGTTAACCTTCTCTTCTCTTATTGTTAACCCTCTCTTCTCTTATTGTTAACCTTCTCTTCACTAATTGTTAACCTTTTCTTCTCTTATTGTTAACATTGTCTTCTCTTATTGTTAACCTTCTCTTCTCTCATTAATAACCTCTTCTCTTATTGTTAACCTTCTCTTATTGTTATCCTCTCTTCTCTAATTGTTAACCTTCTCTTCTCATATTGTTAACCTTCTGTTATTGTTACCCTTCTCTTCTCTTATGTCATTTTTAACCTTCTCTTCTCTTATTGTTAACCTTCTCTTCTCTAATTGTTAACCTTCTCTTCTCATATTGTTAACCTTCTCTTATTGTTATCCTTCTCTTCTATTATTGTTAATCATCTTATGTCATTGTTAACCTTCTCTTCTCTTATTGTTAACTTTCTCATCTCTTATTGTTAACCTTCCCCTCTCTTGAAAGAACGTCAACAAAGAAAACTAGAGACAATACATAAAACAAATTATTTAGAGAGAGGGGTTAGAAAGGAGGATATAGAGGCTTAAGTTGGCCTATGTTTCAGGCAGTGTATAATAAGGGGAATTTTTTTTACTTAGTTCAGTACGTTTCCGGCCTACAACTCCTTATAATGAACATCCTGCGTTCTGACTTTTTTAATTGAAATTATGATTTTTATCTTGTGTGACTTAAATGTAAACTTTAGTAAGTTCGTTTGTATGTGATGAATGAATGTATTTTAATGGTTCTATGTTTGTATGAATGGGTGATCTTGTGTGTGTGTTTGTAATGTATGTCTGTATGTGTATGTATGTATTGGTGTCTGTATGTAATGATGTCAATTTTAATGAAAAAACTGTAATATAATACTGGAGATTATGAAAAATGTGCAACTGACAGTAGAGAGTAGACAGTAGACAGTAGACAGTAGACAGTAGACAGTAGACAGTAGACAGTAGACAGTAGACAGTAGACAGTAGACAGTAGACAGTAGACAATTTAAATTTTAGAAAGAAATAATTTAAAATAAATGAGCGCGTTTACTCGATAAAAGGTCTGGGTCCCATCTGATAATTCTATTCATTCTGATCTTGTCCATCTTTTTTTAACTCCCCTCCCACGCCATGCTTAACTGTTAAAACTGATTCTTTTTCTGTTGTTCTCTTTTTAATATTAGAAAATAGTAAATAAATGAGTAAATTGATCATTAAGATTTTAGATTTAGAAATGACGCTTATTTTTATTAAGATAGGACCACTACTTCCGCCCCTATATATTTACTCAAATGTCCGTCACTAACATATTGCGTCATATCCGGTGTTTCTGACGCAACACCCCCCCCNCCCCCCCCTCCTCCCTGAAAACTCCCTTCAGAAACACTTGATACCCCTGCAGCGTGTTCGAAAAAATCCCAAAAAAATTTTATGTCGTTGAAAAATAAACTTGCGCATTATTAAAATTTTTTGTCAAAAATTAAAATTTTAACAGAATTTTTTTTCTTTTTAAATATTTTTGAGCATCCCGGAAATAAATTGTTAATAGTTTGCACTCCAGTTCTCAGCTGAAACTCTATGAAAGAGGAGCCTTACAGGGTGAAACAAAATTAATGCAAGCTAGTATCAAGTGTTACAGGGTGATAACAGAAAATTAAATCATGAACACTGACGTAGTGGGTTACAGTGATGCATGATTTCAAATAAAATTGTGATACATTATTTCTTTGGAAGTAGTGAAGGAACCAGGGTGAGGCATATATGTTTAAAAATATATTTTATGTTTTGATTTAAATTAGAAGAGAACTGAACTAAATATTAATTAATAATGTTAAATATTGACAGCTGTATAATTAATCCCACTTAAAGTTAAATGTTAATGTTACAATCGTATTAATTGGAGCTTTTCAAGAACTACGGATTTTATTTATTTGATAACAAGGTCAGTTTTCTTGGACATAATCGTTAATATCTTTAAAGTGCCATGATTGCACTAAGATGAATAAATATGTAAGTTTCCGTTTGTATGTAATTCGTCAGAAGAAAGGGGTTTCAAACAGTAGTTTCATTTTATTCTTTTAGGAGAGGAGCTTAGGCTTCCTCCCCCCCCCCATGCCTAAAAATTTAAAAATTGAGACAAAATGAAATTTTTCACAAAAGCCAAATAATCGTATAATGCTTTTTAAATAGACCAAAATTTTCCAAGTAAAAAATAAATATAGGTTACAAATCGTGAGACCTCACATCAATATTGATTTCGTATTGTCACTTCAATCTTGACCTGTGGGTTAGGACGTCCCTAAAACTCTTTAATTTGATTTGATATTTATTTTGAAAGCTGATTAATTGTCTGTCCGTCCGTTTGTATCCAATAAACGTTAAACCGACTTAACCGACTGGGCTCAAATTTTGTGGTCATGGAAGGTTTATGGATGGTCTGAGTTAAAACAAATTTGCCTCCTAAAAAATTCGATATTTGTAAAACTTGGAGAAAAATGAAAAAAAATCACCAATTTTTTGTGTTATTGTTTTATAATATATGAAGAAAATGCTCACAGATCCGATAGAGCAGTAATTCTGGAAAAGCTCGAAAGCTCCCCACTATTGACCAGAGTGACCGTCAGGGTGAGTTGTTCCCCAGGTCTAATTTTTCTTTTTCATTAGTTAGATATTTATTAGTAGATACCATTTATACCATTTAGAACTTCTGGGAGGTTGGAAAATGTAGCAAATAAATGGTTTGAACAAATTTAATTTAATTAAATTTTAAAATAATTTCTACTATCAAAATGATTGAAATCCGTCAGAAATGCGCGAAATTTTGGATAAAAATCCGCGAAAATTTTCAAAACAGTACACAAAATGACGCAGTTTGTCTCACACAATATGGTAAAAAGTCGACTAAAATTCAAAAGATTACTCCTGCTATTGAAACCAAGATCAAATGCTTCGTCTGGAACCAGTTTAGTGTACAAGTGGCCAACTATCCTAAGGTTATTTGCAACAACTGTCACAGAAACCTCTATGATCTTGACAAGAACAAGGTGGAATACCTGGGAAACTGGATAGAGAAAATATCAAAGGTAAATCTAAGTTGTTTTTTCAAGTATAATCACAATTAGATGCTTTATAAGTTGGGGCAAAATTTGAAATAACCGTAATAATCAGCATCTATATTTAATATATGAAGAAATGATAATCTCTGTTTGGTTATGTCCGATCATAACTCAGGAACACCTCAATTAATTTGCCTCAAATTTTGATTGGGGAACTCTGTAGAACCATAGGAATGTCTTTTTGTGGTTTAATTATTTAAAGTTAAGTGGGTTGACTTTAATTTCCAGGCAAAGAAAGGTTCCAAGCTACTTTCATATATAACTATATATTTAACTAACTAGAGAATCCAGCTTGGCCTAGAGTTTTCCAAATAAAAAAATTTCTAAACCAGGCTAAGAAAATTCCTGTGGTTCAAGCGAATTTCCCTATTCAAATTTGAGTCAAATCGGACCAGGGGTTTATGAGCTATGATCCGACATACAAACAAACAAACAAACAAACAGATAGACAAACAGAGATTATTCTACTTTATATATATATACATAGATGACGTTTCTCTTCTATTTATAAATTAATCTTTCTTCAAGTATTTAAAGTCTAAGTATAAGTATTTGCTAACTATAATTGTAAACTAAAAAAAAATTATTTACTGTGTTAAAAAAATATTGGATATCATTAAAATAGTTGATATGTTTAGATTGATAGATCTGGTCTTAGAAGATCCTCAAATATAAATCTGAAAGCTGAAGAATTGGCTTCATCTAATGTATCTTTTCCTGAACCTGTAAAGTCTTCAAGATTATGTTCAACTTGCTTTGGTTTTGTAGGTAAGAATATATTTTTAACCAAATTATTTTCAGGAAATGATAATTAGTAATGTTAAAATTTTTGGTATTATTTTTATTATTTTTTATTGTCCATGTCATAATACCGCTTAAATGTCGTCTTTCTATGCCACAGTTTTATGGGTCTTACTGTAAATTAACTATTTGTGATTTTTTTTCTTTTTAAGGTTAACTTAAAGGGACTGTAAAGAAAAAATAAATCAGCTGAAACCTGAGAATCTCAGGTTCTCAGGTTTCAGCCTATACCCCCTTTCGTTTTTCCTTTACGGTCCCTTTAAGCAAAACATATTAGTTCAGGGAGTTGCTCATGTATGTACTGGAAACAGAGCTGTAAATAATCTTATTGAAGCAGCAGCATGTCTTGGACTTAAATATTCTGAACGTGTAGCTTCAGGGAACAAAATGAAATAAAAATAATACTTTTGCAGAATTAAATTTTAAATCAAAATCTTAGATTTTTTAAGCTCTAAATCTTATTTTATTTTGTTGTTAGGAATAATCAAGCAAAAGATGGAATCAGAAAGTATTTCTAGGGGACAACAGTTTCAGCTTTCAACTCAAGGATCCCCTTTGAACATTATTGCAGGAACTCCGGACAAGAAAACTGATAGGATAGAGTTGAAGCAGGTGTCTTTTGGCACAGTTATGGAATTAGTAAAGTCTCTAGAGCTCTCTAAGAATCAAACCAAAAAGTTTTGTTCAAAATACAGAGCAAGCATGGGAACTCAAACCAGCATTGAGGGAAATATCTTTGAAAAAATGGAGAATCTTCACAACCAAATGGACGAGTTTTACACTTCTAAAGAAGAAGAGTTTATTGATGGAGAAGAAGTGATTACAAGAACCATGGTTTATGTGAAAGACACATCTACATTTATACAGCACATTATAGCTGAAAGAGGAGTTAATCCACATGAGTCAATAGTCAGGATAGCTATGGATTCAGGACAAGGATTTCTCAAGGTTACAGTTAATGTATTTAATCCTCAGGACAAAATTTCCACAGATTCTAACCTTGATGATTCTGGGGTAAAAAGATGCTTTCTCATAGCAATTGTGGAGGGAATATCGGAGGCTAATGGCAATCTGTGGAAGCTTATTGAGCCTTTGAAACTACAAGATGTTAAGTACTATGTTGCATTTGATCTCAAATGTGCTAATTCAGTATTTGGTATCAGCAGTCATGCAGGAAAGTACAGTTGTCTGTTTTGTGAGGGATCTTGCACTCTTGAGCCTGGCAACAAGAGAACTCTCAGATCCTTGGATAATAACTACAATAACTTTGTCGCCAATGGAAAGAAAAAGTTAAAGATGTCAGAGTTCAAAAATGTTATTAATCCTCGACTTCTTTATAAAGAAGAAGATCCTGATACCTTACTTGAAGAGTTAGTTCCTGTACCTGAGCTCCATGTTCTAATGGGAGTTGTCAGTAAACTTGCTGTTCTATTGCTCAGTTTATGGCCTTTGTTTGAGAGCTGGTTGAGCTCAAATTACATAATGTTCAGAGGATATCAAGGTGTAGGATTAGATGGAAATAATGCTAGTAAGTTTCTGAAACTGACAGACAAGCTTGAAGATGATTTAAAAAACGATAAAAAGTACAACCTATTGCCAATTGTTCACTGTCTGAAAAAGTTTCAAAAACTTCAAGCAGAAACCTTTGGTATGGTAGTTGGAGAAAATGTGGAAACTGCTGTTCAAGAGTTCAAACAATCTTATAAAGATTTGATCGAATATGTTCAAAACACATTTGATAGTGTTGAGCTGAGTGTCACCTGGAAAGTTCATATAGCTGTATGTCATATATTACCATTTCTTCAATCAACAGAACATGGCCTAGGAGTTTACTGTGAACAAACAGGAGAAGCTATTCATCATGAGTTCAAAAAAACATGGAACAGATACAAACGAAGAGTCAATCATGAAGATTATGCAAAACGGTTAAAATCCAGTGTTGTTGAATTTGCAGCACATAATATTAATTAGATGTAGCAGTTAAAAATGTAAATATTTCATGTTGATTAGTTTCAGAATAGTAACTTATCTTATACATGAGTCGTATTTTTAAGTATAAAAGAACATTTAACGTTTATGATGTGTTATATAGCTTATAAATACACTATTATCATTACTTCTATAGAGAAATTTCGTGGATTTTTAATTTTCAAAAAATCTTTAAATTTCCAACCTCCCAGAAGTTCTAAATGGTATAAATGGTATCTACTAATGTATATCTAACTAATGAAAAAGAAAAATTAGACCTGGGGAACAACTCACCCTGACGGTCACTCTGGTCAATAGTGTCCCTGAAAGCCTAGTATCTTAAATTATAATGGATTTAAACCTGGCAAGAAGCATCACTGATTCTTAGTTTATGATTGTTTGTTCCAAGTTTGGTTGTCAAGTCCTATTATGGCATACGTATAATAGCGGTATCCATTGTTGTGTTATGTCAATTCATTTGCGGAATTTGTCCCATTTCTCATTTGAAATTTATATTTTGTTTCCTGTCTTAATAGTTTTTGGTCTCAAGGTAATTTAATGTGAGTCGGGAGCTGCCGACTATATTAGTTTTTTAATCGCCCCGGATGTAATGTTTAAGTCGTTTGTGACAGTAAAAATGAGGCATAAAAACGACGGAGATTATTTTCTTTCTCTGGAAGTCATTGGAAACAAAATTGGGCGTTAAAAATAATTTTTAATTTCGTCTGATTTAGTTTTAAACATTTTACCCGTGTGAAATTTTTATGTTACACATGTTGGGTAGAAGGTTTGGGCAGGGGGTGGCTCGAGGTAGGGGGGGGGTAATGGGATGGGCGGAAGTAGGAATTTTGGTAAAAGTTGTCTAGTGCACACATCTTCCTTTAATAAATATCAAATAAATTGTATTCTAACAGATTCAATTCGTATAAATTGATATTTTTGGATAAAAAGTGGATTTTAGCTCGGAGCTATTAGTTTAAAAGCCCGAATCATTTGGTCCCGACTCCGATCAACCCCAGATCAATTTTAAACTATATTTGGAGCGTTAATATTTTAGAAATACAATGTATTTATAAGGATAAATTTATTATACAGTCGTCGTCGTATATATCACCTAAACATGGAAACAAAAAGATATTGTCAATTAACAGCTTATATGCGTTTACTTGTAAACTTTTAAAAAAACGTTTGTTAAGGTTCAAAGCATAATCAATAAAATATCGTATTCATTGTTTTAATATAATCGCTGACCATTGGACAGATTCGACTACTCCTTGTTCGCAGACAATCCTCCCTTGTTCCTTCTAAAGAAATTTTACTTTATTTTTTTAGATGTTTTGGGGCTGATAGTCAGAAACTTCTCAACTTCTGTATACTGGTGGATAGGTGAGTCAACTTAGTAACATCTGATATTACAAAAACAACGAGACTATTTTTTTTTTATTACCTTTGGTACCGTACCTAGCTTTGCCTGGCAATCTATTCTGTCTCTAAACAGGCAACTAACCTTAGAAACTTAGAATGTTCGTATAGAGATTACTACTTTTTATATATATTTTCTACATTAACAATCAGACTATTTTTTTTCATAACGACCCTTCTCAGAAATTACTGTTAAAATTTTTTCTCTTTTTATTAACTCTATTCTATTGTGCCTTTTTATTTAAAAAAACCAAGAAAGTTTTACGCCCCCCCCCCACACACTTAGCTACCGTTTGGACTTATTACTGTTATTTTAAAATTTTAAACTAAAATTCATTTTGATGGATTTAATTAAATGTACGTACAATATATTGTAGTACTAGGGCTAAAGTAGCCGTAGCCCGAGGTAACATGTAGGTGACATACATATATACTCAAACGCACAAACACTTACACTTACGACTTTCTGGCTTTAATATAAGTATTGTATGTTCAGGCTGGTAGAGGATGGTTTAAATATAAGTGTTGTATGTTCAGGTTGGTAGAGGATGGTTTAAATATAAGTATTGTATGTTCAGGCTGGTAGAGGATGGTTTAAATATAAGTATTGTATGTTCAGGTTGGTAGAGGATGGTTTAAATATAAGTATTGTATGTTCAGGCTGGTAGAGGATGGTTTAAATATAAGCGTTGTATGTTCAGGTTGGTAGAGGATGGTTTAAATATAAGTGTTGTGTGTTCAGGTTGGTAGAGGATGGTTTAAATATAAGTGTTGTTTGTTCAGGCTGGTTGAGGATGGTTGGAGTGAGGAAGTAAGCCTCGAGGTTACTCAATTACATGCCGCAGATGAAAATCTTACCAGGTAAGTCGGAGGTCAAAACTTTTGAGTTGTTATCCTTGGATTAAACAGTTATCCGTTGTCCGAAAGATTAAATTAATTCCCTTTTCAATAAACTGTGGTGCCAGTTGCCCTAGTTGATATTGAGATCAATTGTTGGACAATTCACACTAAAGTTATGACCTCGGAGGTCAAAACTTTTGTAACTTTAATCTATTTAAAGCGCGCTGAGTCGGTTTACTTTCTCCCTGGAGGGTTAATTTAAGTTGTAAGACACAGCTGCTCTTAGATAAAAATCGTTTCTTTATTCTCGCTTGATCATTTTTCCCTGTAATCGCAGTATCTAGTCGCTTTAACAGAAACGCCGTGTTTCAACCGTTGATGATCGTTTATGGCACTCAAGGAACTGTACACAGGAACGCCCAATTTAAATGTACACACATTGTGTACTGTACTCGTTGAACGGAATGTAAACTAACCCATTACCCTCACAACTTCTGAAAGGAAAGGATTAAAGCTTTAGTAAACATGTGTTGTGACAGACCAATAAAGCACTATTAATATTTATAGTTAGTGCGGATTAAAAATTAATTGTTTAAACATTTGAATCGTTTCTCCCATTATTTAAATCCTTCCTCCCAACGTTTGAATCAAAATTTATTGTATCCTTCCTTCCTCTTAGGTTTAAAATCCTTCCTTTTCTCCCAACTTTTTTTTCTTTTTCCCCCACCCCCCCCTTTTTCTTGGTGTCACTATTACACTCAAGGATAACTAAAGTTAACGTTGACAATATTTTTGATGGACACGAGGAAGCTTTATTTCTATATTTCAAACTAGCTTGAGAACCAAGCGTTTCCCAGGGTCAAAGTTGCCCCCACTTGGTCGATTTTTAGTTATAAAGTCGACCCATTCAACTAAGAATCTCAAAACCAAGTTCCTCAATCAAAATAGGAGGCAAATCGGCCCAGGGGTTCCTGAATTATGATCGGACAAACAAACAGACAAACAGAGATTAAAACTTTATATATATAGAAGATAGAAGATGTCTTTGTAGGAAACATCTGGGTGAATATAAGAAGCTTTTAGAACTGGGGTTTATTAGACAAGATATACATCGCGCACTCATTGATACAGGTATTGTACTGCAACATTTATACTTTGTTTATAAAACAATGACAGTTTTAGAAATTTAAAACCTGTTTATAGATACAGGTATTGTACTGCACTAGTTATACTTTGTTTTAAAAGAACAAAAATATTTCCGAAATATGAAAGTTTTATTGATCACTCATTGGTCGATATCATTTTTAAGTTTAAAAAATGTTGATGTTTTTCTACTTCATTCCGGATTCTGGGAATTAAAAATATCGGGATCATAAGCATTGCTAGGATTTAAAGGGACAGTAAGCATAATTTCAAGTGATTCTACATTCAAAGATGGTAATGCTCGATTCACAACCGTACCCGTTAAAGCTTTGTTTAATGAAGTGTGAATTTAATATCAATGTTCAAAACATTGAAAACTGATTGTTTTCAATTGTGGTTTCTCCACAAAAGTGACTTTGGTATTTCTACTGCAGGGAAACATATCGGAATTCCTAACCAAATTCTGTTAACCCCAGAAAAACGACCATATCTTCCACATTATTGATCAGATATAGGGTACCGTTGTGAAACGGACACTACCATCTTTATTTGAGGGTCACTTAAAATTACGCTTAGTCTCTGAAAGTGGCGGTTAAAATATTATTAAAAACTGTTGATAATGTTATTTTTAATATAAACCATTATTATTTTATTTTAGGGATAGATCACCAGAAGGCGTTAGAGCAACTCATCAAATAAATTTAAAAATATTATTATATATAAAAATTATTTAACCTGTTTAAATATTGTATACGACATGGCGCTTTGGTGAGATTCATAATTTTGGGGAAGTTTTGATTTTGAAGATTTTTGAGCATTTTTGGTATTTAAATTTTAAAAATCGTCCAGTTTTGCATCAAAACTCATGTATCTTAATTTTCCATTATTTTTTATTTATATATTTTTTAAGGGGAGAAACTCACTAGTAATTTAAAAACTAGTTTTTATTTCATATTTATTTACTCTCATTTTAATAGCATTCTGCGAAGTAAGGGCATTATATTTATCTATCAGTCTAGTAAAAATTTCTTTACCTCAAGGTTTTTTTTGTGAGATCATATTTCAGTTAGTCATGCCAATATATTCATATCAATACTATGTAATGGAGTGTTTGTACTTTCTTTAACATTTAACACTGTTTACTATTGAAAAAGGGGGGGGGGGGGGGCTGTAAAATAAAGGACAAGGATAAATATTTTTTACACTTCTAAAACATTTCAAGAAATTTGTTTGCTATTTTATGAATGGAATGAATTCACCTATTTTCATAGCAGGGGTGTGTCAAGTTTTCGAACTCTTTCATGAATTAAAGCATTTTATAAATATCACGAACTATTTATTACGGGGCACGATTACCTTTCTCATGTACACATTTAATTGTACACTCATGTAAATTGTAAACTTGTAATTTTAGTACACGCTGTAATTTTGTACCAAAGTCAAACGAACACTTAAGTGTTAAATTTCAGACGCGGAATTGCGCACTTAAAGATGCAGATAGAAGCACAGAATCAGTTGAAATAAATTAGAGGTTTGTTTCCGTCCGTGTCTACTATTTATCGACTAAACTTGTTATACTTTATTTCCCTTTAATTATGGTATATCGAGCTGCATTCCTTTATGAGTAAAAAAAGTATTTAACTTTAAAGGGACTGTAAACGAAATTTCAAGTGGCCCTCTATTTAAAGAGTGGTATGTCCGATTCATTGTGTATGATTAAGAATGAATGAGATATCCACATTACTGACCAAATATAGGTTTAAAGGGTTCCGTTGTGAGTCAAGTAGGGCACTCTTTTTTTAAATGAATGGTTCCTTGAAATTATTACGTCAGTCCCTTTAAATTCATGATATCACTGGAATCAGTTCCATTATTTTATATAGTGTTGAGCTTTTCACTCTCTCACTAATGCGTTAAATTTCGCATTCTTGTATCATACTGTGGTCAGCATATATATCATTACGTTCACTGAAATAGTGATACTATACAGAGGCTGGCATATATTTCAATATAATATTCAGTATTGAAATATGCTAATAAATAGTAGTAGGTTTATATACAAATTAACTATCAGGTAGTTACTGAAATATGCTACATTATAATTAGTAGTTGGTGTATATACAAATTAATTATCAGGTATGTACTGAAATATGCTATATAATAAATAGTGGTCGGTGTATATACAAATGAATTATCGGGTAGGTACTCAAATATGCTATATAGTAAATAGTGGTCGGTGTTTATACAAATGAATTATCTGGTAGGTACTCAAATATGCTTCATAATAAATAGTGGTTGGTGTAAATACAAATGAATTATCAGGTAGGTACTGAAATATGCTACATAATAAATAGTGGTTGGTGTATATACAAATGAATTATCAGGTAGGTACTGAAATTGTATTATATTATCATTTCTGTAGCCGACACTGTATTGATATGTAACACTGTATGTACATTGTACATTTAACATCAGATATTAGCAAAGTATACGGAACTATTATATTTGAGGGGTTATCTTAAAGAAATATGGGGGGGGGGATGTAAAAAGTCGAACTAATTTTCATTCTTTTTTATACTTGTCAAAATCAGGACGGGCAATTACCCCCCCCCCCCCCCAGTATTCCCTCTAATCCTGACCTTACACTTACTAAATAAAACTAATTTTATTTTTTTCTAGGCCAAGTGAGTGTTATGCTAAGACTGGAATATGCTGCTATATATATTTTTTTACCTATTCATAGCCCAAACAGAAGGTAAGGTTTTTTATAAATTTTTATAGATTTTTAAAAATTCATTTTAGAAGAAAAAACGTTAACTTGAAAAAATGGCATTTTTAAAAAAAATTAGAAAAAAGCGGGAAAATGAAAATAAAAACATTTCTCGCAAGAAATTATTTTTGTCAATTGAAAATGATTTAGTAGTATGTAATATCTTGTTTAAGGGCGAAAACTTCCAAACGACGATAAGTTTCCTAGTCCTCGTATTGTAATCCTGGGAGCCACTGGTGTGGGAAAATCATCCCTTGCAAATGTGCTAAGAGGTAAATATCTCAAACTCACCCCACCACTACCAAACCACCTTACCCAGTCCCTCAAACATGGGTTCAATCCCACCTCCCCCTCTAAATAATTCATTGGAAAAGATTTAAATCCCCCCCCCACACACATTTTTTGTTAATATTTTTTACCTGTCATTCATAAGTTCATTATTGTGTACTTAAAAGTTAATTTCTTATTAGCATTTTATACAAAATGAATTATATAAACTGACTCCTACAGATGTTTTTATATTGATAAAAAATATTTCAAGGTCTGGGTTGCATTGCAATACGCTTTATCATAATGATCTAGCTTGAGAACCCAGCTTTGTCTGGAAATCTAACCTTTCCCTGTAAAAGTCAACGTACTCAATTTCCAGACTCAATCCAAGCTAATAACGACTCTACAAAGCTGCTCCATCTAAATTTATGGCAAATCGGTTAAGGGATTCATGAGTTATTATCTGACAGACACAGATTACTATTTTATGTGTTTTGTTGAAGCACAGAAACATTATTTTTCTATTTTAGGTCGACACAAGAACTTCGATGGAGAAGGATTCAAGTCTGGATGTTTTAAAGTGAGTTGTTTTTAAAGGGATTGTAAGCCTAATTTCAACTCGCAGCTCCTCCAGTTATAGTGTTGAATTTCTGTTTACAACTGTGATCGAGAATGCATGAGATATCAATCATCTTCTTATAGAAAGACGATCTTTTCAATTGAGGTTTCTCTATAAAGGGGCATGCGCATTTTTGCTTAAGAAATAATACGGAGGAAATTTTCTTAATTAAACACTTTTCAAGCTAGAAAAGTGACAATATATTCCAGATAGTCAGTTTGTTTTTAAGGGTTTAAAGGGAGTGACCGGCAATGTATGATGGTTGAACTGAATATGTAGTATTGTTGACAAATTATTTAGGATTCATTTGAGACATGCAAAACGTTTCTACGTACGTTTCAAAACTGAACCTTGATTCTTGATATCTAATCATTTGTATTCAAATTTAAAACTGAACCTTGATTCTTGATATCTAATCATTTTTATTCAAATTCAAAACTGAATCTTGATTCTTGATATCTAATCATTTTTATTTCTCTAAATTTAATTCTTGGAAAGAAATGTGGAATATGCTGGTAATGGTGAATATCCCAACTTTACAACAATTGAAGCTGAAACCCGGTGGCTGGGGGTTGGGGTAACGATTTTTACTTTTACCTGACAGTTCATAGAATGGTTTTGGGGCAATTTTTCTTGCTTGGTCCATTAGATCTATAATTTACCAGATTCTCAATTCAAAATAGAACTCTGGATGTGTATTGTGTATGTATAGCAGTAACCCGTCCACAGGCTGATGTTGAAGGCTTCTTCTAATGCCAACTACCAAAGTAGCCTAACCATTTCAAAATTAAAATTTTATATCCAAAGGCGAATTTGTCATTCTTAATGCATTTTGATTACAGCTAAAAACTCTGTTGTAAAGAGGGTTTGTCTGGTTAACAATGGTACCCCTTTAATAACCTTTGTCTGATCAAGGTTGAAGAGCTATCATATTTTCTTCTAGCTGAACACGCTTACCTGGGAATCGTCCGTGCAGTCCAGAGATAGGAAATAAGAGGAGGAGAGCGAGGTTAGCCCAATCACCTAGATCTGGACTTAGGTTAAAGGGGGGAAACTCACCAAAGGGTTTGCCTAGATAGAGTTATAACTTATAAGGAGTTGTAAAGCTGCGGTAAGAGTCTAGAATAGGGCTAGAATAATTTAATAAGGTATAGACTGTAATCTAAAGTGTTATAATAAAGGAAAGATAACTGATAATCTACTAAACAGCAGGAAGGGGAACTAAGAGTACTGAAAAAGATGGTGAGGGAGGGAAGGAGGGACAGAAATAACTATAGGTTGTTTGAGCTGAGGAAGTAGAGAGAGGAATGATAAGAATCCAGGTAGAGATAGGGAGGTAGTGATGGAAGGAACATGTGGAGATGTGTACGTGTAACAGTACAGTACAGGGTATACACTGAACTGAGAGACTATCCCAGATGTCGTCTTCAATATGTTTAACTCATAGACGTGCCGTCTATAACCTAAACAATAATAATTTACTACTTTCATTTGTATAGTTTCTCTATTGAAATGACTTGTGCAATGTGTGCATTTATGTTGCAGTGACAATGTAGTAAATTAACTATGTTAGGTAGAAAAACGCCGATATACCGTTATGAATTGTGTAATGAGTGCATTTATGTTGCAGTGACAATGCAGGAAATAGACTATGTTAGGTAGAAAAACGCCGATATACCGTTATGAATTGTGCAATGTGTGCATTTATGTTGCAGTGACAATGCAGGAAATAGACTATGTTAGGTAGAAAAACGCCGATATACCGTTATGAATTGTGCAATGTGCAAAATTAAACAGAGGGTAACTTGAAATTAAGTCGACAGTTACTTAAACGATATTTTCATAATAGTTTTTTATCGTAACGTGTTAAGGTTCAATCCCACCTGGACCCGGTAACTAAAGAAACCTGCCCTGATCGTGGATACTGGTTAGGCAATAGTTCATTACCAGAGTTTACTATCATCGATACTCCAGGTACATTTCGTGATACATAATAAATTAATGATTGAAATGATAATTATGTTATGTATAATATGATGAATGTCGCCTTTTTTTGTAAAATTTTGCATAATTCTTAAAATTTTCGAAATATCTGACCAAATTTAAACTACACCATTAATAAATGGGTGAAAATATATCTTCATAATATTAATAATTCTAATAAAGTTTTGATTAGCATTATTTTTTACTTATAGGGTTTGGTGATGATTTGGTGAAGGAGGAGAAGACAATAGAAAACCTGGTTTCTGTTCTCAAGAACGATATTAAATATGTTCATCTTTTCGTCATCGCATTCAAGCAAACAGACAATAGGTTAGAACAGGGATAATTACAAGGAGGGGGGGGNTGTAAAATAAAACCATAACATTTTTTCCAGTTTGAATAAATTATTTTGATTGCCAGGGGAAGGATAGTTTAATTTGGAAGAAAAAAATCAACAGCCTGTAAAACGAAGAATATTGATTAAGTCTGATATTGTATCCAGGATGACCCACGCGCTGCGGAGTATGCTCTCGTTATTTGAGAAAATGTTCGGCAACCATTTCTGGAAGAACGCAGTACTAGAGGTACTATTTTATTATTAGATGGAATTCATAAGGATTTTCGACCATGGAGAAAATATTTTTGAGTTTGTCTGGCTGAGATACTTCTTGAGTTTTCTTTTTATCCCTAAAAGTTTCTTATCTCAACGGTCTAACCCAGGGTTTGAAAAATCCCGGGTTTTTTTCAAGAAGAAAACCAGCCCAGTGGGTTTTTTTTTTTTTTTTTGGGCTTTTTGAAACCTACTAAAATTCATACTAATTCATTATAATAAGACTATTTAAGCAATAGGTGAACTTTATAGCTATTAACAATAATAATATTGTTGTGATAATAGGCTATAATATTAATAAATTACTTTTTAAATTCAATAATATCACCTCCCTTCTTCAAAAGGGGCCTTGATAGGGGAATACTGCAATTTTTTGATATTTTAGTTCTATGATTTTCAGACTATTTTTTTTTCTCACTTAAATACATATTTCTGATTGGGGGTGGGGATGTGATATTATTGTATTTGAAGAGTATATATATATATATATTTATGATCATAGCCTATTATCACAACAAAATTATTATTTTTCATAACTATAAAGTTCACCTTTTGCTTAAATAGTCTTATTAATTTAAACCTGAACTTGAATTTCTGAACCTGAACCTGAACCTGAACCAGAACCTGAAACTGTGTTTGATCCCGAGTATGAAATAGAATCTAAGAGATATTTTCGAATTTTAAAAACAAAATATCATTGCGCCTTTGCAGAGAATCTTAAAACTCAAAAACATTTGATATGCTATACTTTTCTGCGATAATTAAACCCCGATATGATATTTAAATGTATTTATAGCAAATGATAAATATTTAGATCTTAAATTATGAATAAGTATGAATTTTAGTAGGTTTTAACTACTTTCAAATTGAAACCCCTAAAGGCCAAAAAAAAACAATAAAAACCGGGTTTTTTTCTAACCCTGAAAAAAATCTAAAAATATTTCGCCTTTCGAAAACAACAAATTTAACTATTATAATTTTAATCTTTTTAGCTTCTAAAATTAGATTAGATTGCGGCAGATAGTTTTGTTTAAGGGGAGTGGCTGGTTTGCAATGGTAGTTGAACTAAGAGTGCAGTATTGTAGAGAAATTTTTAGGATTTATTTAAGACCTTAAAGACAGTTTTAGGGTGCATAATTGTTTTTAATCTTAATAAGGCAAATTGAATGTAATTTTTTCCCTTTCAAACTTTAAAAAAAGATTTGCATAATAACTAGAAACGCAGTGTATACATATATGTTTTTATTTTACTGAATAATTTTTGTTACATTTTTTGTTGACGTTATTAAATTATTCTTCAAAATCAAGCCTCCAGATATGACAATATAGGAGGATTTCAAAGATCGGAATTTGGGCTTTTGCTGAACAATTATACACCTAAAATGTCTTATGGGTCTCACTCTCAAATTAATCCTGAAAAAAAATCTCTTCACACTTCACTCGCAGCTCAACTACCATGTCTAGCTGGTCACTTACCTCAATTTCAATTCAAGTAAAAAAAAATATCCTGAAATGTTAAGGCTACCCACTGGAACTATGCTGAAAACTCGATTCGACTCAGAGAATCCGCTCATCCTAAAATAACTGAGGATTTCTGGACCAACGAGTTCAATAGGTTTATATTTTGAAATCTATTTATTTACCAGATGATTCATTGATTTATAAATTTTATAGATTTGATGAATTTCGAGGTTTCTTGATTTTTGGTTAAATGGTTTGTCGTGTTTTTGAGACATCGGGTCGTTTGGGAACTTTTTTATGGAGGTGGATTTATGATTTTTGCGTTTATAATCGATTTTTGTGTTTATTGATAAGATTTTGTATGTATGATAAATTTGTTGACATTGATATCAATTGTCAGTCCTTGATGGTCAGAAAGATAGATTTATGGATTACATGATATTTGATTGGTACTGACAAGTTGATAAAACAATTGAATAATTTGTAATTTGATTAATTAATTAATTGATTGATTGATTGATTGATCGATCGATTGATTGTTTTTAGAGTGTTGAAGAACAATTTTGAAGTTGAGACCAGTATACCGAGTGTGTTTATAGATACGTTCTACGATCCTGATAACCCGGAGGAGGTGAGAAATCTAAGAAGGTAGATGGCTATTTATGCAAATTTTAAACAGTCATAATCAGAAAGACCCGGAATTTATAGACACTTAATCAGGCGATTTTACATATATATATCTCTGGCAAATTTAAATGCTCAAAAAAAGGCAGACAACATTTTAGAAATAGCAGGACTATCGTTTCATCAATCATATTTGTAAAATTTTATGGAATTTCGTCTGATTAATTGTTAATTAATTCCAGGTATTTCTGATAGCACTGTAAGATATTTAGCTGGGTTTTAATAAACTAACGGTTATAAACAGAATACCCTGGCCCGGTCTTACTTTCCTGTTAACAATATTTGTTATCACAGCAGGATGCAATGGATGAACAACCCCTATTATTCTATTCTTATTTCTGATATCATGAGTGAGGGGGCAGCAAGAAATAAATATGCTAAATCTTGCAATTTAACCTTTTACCCTAATATCCTAAAGTATTTTTGGGACATTGTATTTATAAACATTTAATTAGATGCAAACCAATGATCTAATGAACCGAGCTCTGACCGCCGAACCCTTCGAGTGCAAGGACATCGAGATTGCCCTCCACGAGATTAGGCAGATGCAGAAGGATATTGAGAAGTTGCAGACGGAAACTAACGAAAGAACCAATATCATCCAAAACCTGATCGGTAAGTTCAATGCATCAGGGGTGTGGAGGAAATGATTTTTGATGATTCGAGGGAAAAATGAAAAATTATACATCTAAAATAAGTTTTTAATTCTTTTAACCCAAAAAGNCCCAATTCAGGAAATAAAACCTTCGAGAGAAAATAAAACACGGATATCATTTCTGTTGATTAATTTATTTATATTTATTGTGATTGAGAAATTGGTTGATTGGGTGATATTGATATCGATTGAAATCGATTGATATTTATTGATTTTGATGGATTTTGATTGATTTTGATTAGGTGATGTCCATTGATTTAATTTTAATTGATTGATTGAGTTCAAGGAACAAAAGTTGTCCTAAAACAATCTTTAAAAAGGGAATTATTTTACATATCGTGATATGACTTTGTTAATCTGGCTGCCCTTATTTTTTATTTTTTTTATTTTTTTTTGGTGGTTTTTTATTTTTTATTTTTTATTTTGATCGTTATTATATCGAACTATATATTAGAACTGACGAGGGTCAATCCAGACTAAAATATATTTTTAATAAAACGTGAAACTAAAACCTAGTTTATTATCTCTATGAGGTTTAGATCATCATTAAAATTTTAGATATTAATATTAATAAAGTGAAATTGATTGATTGTGTAAATGTGTTACATCAATTGATTTGATTTCGATTTATTAGGTGATATTTATTGATTGATTAGGTGATATTAGTTGATTGGTTGATTATGATTGTTGTATGTAGAGGAAAGAGAGGAGCTGAAACGTCAGATTGTGATTAGTGGAATAACAACTGAGAGACCCAGGAATTTGCCCAGGGATGGTGGAAGCCTCTTCTGTGTATCCAACAAGTAATTTTTTATTATTTTTTATTTTTCCTCTTCCGTTTTGACTTTGAACCTGGGCGTAGCCGTACATTCAGTGGCTTGAAGAAAGTATGTTGAGCGACTTATTTTTGTGTCAAAGCAATTCTCGTACAACTGTTATCTAAAATCCCTTCTTCATTCAGAATGTTAATTGGAACCTAAGATGTCCAGGGAAGTTTTCAAATTTACTTTTGATGGATGAAATGATGAACATTTGTCTACCTATTTAGATGTTACACGCCAACTGAATTTGCACTGTTTGGAGTTGGTACCACCGTGATGGGTATAATGATCGGTGTGATCGGTATATCCTGGTTCAAATCACACTGTTTACCAGACGAAAAGGTGAGCCTTAGCAAAGACATAACTATCACTAAGAAAAGACGACATTTAAAAGAAAGGTGTTGCCTCATTTTCATTGCTTGAGCAAATAATTCCTTAACATTAATAAAAATCGTACAATTTAACTAATGACTTAACTAGCTTACAGTAAATAATAATCATACCTTTCTATTTGTATCTATATATCCATCTGTATCTCGTTATCTCATCACTATCTATCTATCCTATATATCTTTCCATATATCTATGTCTGTCTGTCTGTATCTATTAATCAATCTATCTATCTATCTATCTATCTATCTATTAGGAGGAGCTACGTGAGAGAGAAAGAGAATTGCAGAAGCAGGAGAGATTAATAAAATCTCCAAACTACCTTCTGAACGGGTCGGAGAAATCTAATATATATCCGGTATGTTCTCTTGTGTATAGCATTATCCATAAAATGTGTTCGCTGATTATATCAGTACAGTGAAGACAATTTTTTATTAATAATGCTTTGCTTCCTAGCAAGCATTTTAGAATTACAAGTTTTCAAGTAAATATTGAGAAGCTGTTAATTGCAAACTTTTATTTGTTTAAATGATTAAGTGCTTCTGCTGTTAGAAATCAAAATTGAAATAAAAAGTCATCTTTACTGTACGACGACCTGAAACACAATAATATAATCTAAAAATTGAATTGCATTGATTATAGTTTTCAGTGGTTTATTTAAAAAGGTGTAAACACGTGTACAAGCTCCAGGGAGCTGGGAATTGAAAACAAAAAGACTGAATACATTCCGTCCAATTGTCTACTTTAAATTCGCATCCCTTGTGTCAAACCCTGTTCCATTTATTCCTTCTTTCACCACTGTTAGCGATTAAACCACAGATAAAATATTGATTGGTTATGGACGTAGAATCAGTGCTTACGGATCCAGATACGTTGGATCCGCAACAATTAAACTTCCTGGATCCGGATCTAGATCCGTAAAAAAAATGGGGGAAATTATCAACCAAAATATGTTTATACAAATACTTTTGCCCCTCAAAACACATCTCAAATGTTGAAAATTAGAGATTGTTCATAAAATTCCTAATCTCTAAATGGTTTATCAAGTTTTAGGATAATAATAAGCGAAATGTTTATGGCTTTACACATTACAATTCTTGGAACTCTACTTCTAGAGGTCAAAGTTTTGCTCTGATATCGAATGGGTCAATCCGCCAAACAATCCAGATATGATTTCAAGGATGAACAGTAGAAGGAAGGCTTGAGCTGCCAAATTTTCCAAAAGAAATTCTGAGAAGAAGAATTTTTCGAAGAGTCCTTATTACACACAATAATTTAATCATTCAGAAATGTGGACAAGAAACATTTTATTACAGGCCGGGTGCCTAACCTGGATCTTAATTATCTTCAAAATAAAATGGATCCTAAGCACTTATCATGTATACAGATACATTAACTCTTGTTGTAATCCTATCCTTCAATTTGTTTTTTGATCCTGTTATCCTTTCATCCTAAAATCTTTATTTTACTTAGATTTAAAATGAATAAAGGATTTATGTGTTTAAGTTTATCTATCTTTTTTTCGTTTTTAGTTTATATTTTGATATTTTAGAATTACAGTCTGAATGGCTCTGCTGTGGATAAATCTCATCTAATTCAGGTATTTATTCATCTATTCATTCAATTGCCATTCATACACTTATTAATTTATTCTTTCATCCACTTTTAGATGTTCAGTTGTACATTTTTTCAGTTTTATACTTTAAATAGTTTTTGGCTCTTGTTCGTTTTTAGCACTTTTCACTCTTAAATCTAGCTTACTCAGTCCATATTGTAATTTTCATAATTAACCAATAAATCATTCATCAATTAATCATTGATTGATTAAATATTATCTATTTTCAGCCTGGTGAGGATCAAATAGAGCGTGCTGTTCCTGTCAAGCACGGTCTTCACGAAACAGAGTTCTAACCGATTAATACGTTCAACACTATGGGGTTTTTAGCGCGTTTTAGGGGACCACGGAGTTGAAAATGGTAGAAACCATGAATCGCTCAGCACTCTTATTAATGGAGAAACTTTGGGAAAGAAGGAAACTAAAAAATAGAATTTTAAAAATGTGGTTTAATACAAAGATGATAAGATCTAATTTTGATGTAGAAAATGGAGGACGTTAAAAATTAGAATTTGACTAATGGGGGTGGGGGGGGGGGAGTTGGAATTGGTAAGGAAGGGGTTTTAAGAAACGGACGTATTTCTCTGGTTTTCAGCCTACCAGTTCGTATTCTCTAACCATGCAAACTGAAGCCAAAACACACTTTAGTGTTTGATAAACAAATTACAATGTTTTCACCAGTTCCGCCAGTGAACATGAGCTAAATACAGTGTACTTCAGAAAGTTAATAGTTCTGTTGTATATGTAGTGCACTGTACAGTGTAAAAAGCCAAGTGAACTGTGTACATTATTTCAAGTTTAATGTTTGATTTCATACTAACATAACACGAGCACAAACAATAATATCCTTTTTCAAGTTGGGTTTTAGTCGTTTACCTGTCAGCTCTGACGTCACACGGGTGAAAACCTTATCATTTTGGAATTCGGGAATTAACTTCTTAACATTCTTAGTTGTGTAGAAGACGCCAGAGTTCTATTTGCAAACAAATCTGCTTAGATTCTGTGTACACTGTGAACTTAATTTTGTACACTGTACGGTGTACATAATAACATAGACTGGAGCGAAGAGTGACATAAATCAATCATGTCGGAATTATATCAATAATATTTTTGATATTTATATTTTTAAAATTTTGTACTGTGGTAATGTACATTTTTGAGCTTTTTATCGGTCCAACGCTGATTTCTATATGCATGAACCTTTTCTATCTATGTATGGTATTGGACAATTTACGTATCTGATTTATAATTGGGATGTTTCATAGTTTTATACTACTCTACTTTTATACTTTTATACTTTTATACTTATCGTATCGTAGTGTTGGTCCGTGATTTCTTAGTATGCCTTTAAACTTTCACCCTATTAAGAAACCCAAGGGAACAAATTACAATTCAATACAATGGTGTTTTTTCATTTGTTAACATTTCTCTTAATTTCTTTCCTATTATTTGATCACCGCTGTTTAATGCATTTTAATAACTAGCTCAAAATGCAACCTTATGGATTAAAATCAAAAAGATTTCAATCCATTGTAATTGTAATCTACCAAGTACAAATAATGTCGTTGATAGAAAATAGATAAATCATAACTCATAATTGTTCATTAAAGATATACAATATCTTGAAATAGTGAATATAGTCGATTGTTTCCAACATGTTGTACAGATATTTTGAAGCACAATGTTTGTTGGATTTATATTAAAATATTATGGTACAAAAACAAACAGAGCGCTCTAGTATTCTCTGTACAATTTGATTTGTTTAGTTAAATTAATATTTTTAAATATTTTGTTCCGATATATTAAATGGATCGATTCCTTTAAATTAATTATAAATAAATTATTCACAATATGTGGGTAAATGTATTTTTCGTTTTCCTCAGATATAACGTTTATCTTAATCTGTTAAATTCGGTTTTTGGAATTTATGTAAACCCTAAAATTAATTTTCATATCTTTTAAAAATTTGATAAGACAAGTTTAACATATAGATATCAACATTTATTAATCTTATTTACCCAATATTACCACATTATCAAATATAAATATTTCATTATCCATCTTTATCCATTATAACAGGGTGCTTCCAAATATAGGCTAATTTACTTTTTACGTTTTTTTTCATTTGTACATTTATTATGTTAATATCATTTAAACCATCCATACTTGGTTAAATTACAGAATAGTTCTTTCAAAATCAAAATGGGAAAATTTAAAAAATTGAAAGTTAAGACTCGAAATTCTACACGATTGCACAATTTAATTTGCACCTGTTAAATCTTTAAGTGTAGATTTTATAAAAAGAAATTAAATTTTAACTTGGAAATCTGTAATTTAACTACCTCTGATTTGTAAATTATAATTTTGTAATTTTTTGTAATTTTATACCCTATCTTTTAACCTAAAAATAGCAATATAGCTTCAACAAGAATGTAAAAAATTGTAATGCTTCATGAAACGCCTTGAAATTGTGCCATTTTTCAAATCTTATTCGTGTCTGTTCAGTGGCGTGGATTTTTATATTCTATTTTGCGGATTTCAGATAAAAATGTTTGGATTATTAGACCTCGAGGATTTTTAAGGTTTCCCCTCCACGGTAAGCTGGATATTGAATAATGAATATGAAGGATTTAGTTAGTTAATAACTGGACTGGATAGCTATACAACACAAACTGTATTTTTTCACAGAGATCGGAACTTCTATGTAAAGTATCGTTGATATTGAAAGCTTAATCTCAATATCCAATGTGACCCCTTTTAAATTTGAGGACTATTGCTTAATTCCTCAATTAAAGTTATTTAAGATGTCGTAAAATTGTGTCTGCTGGTTTTTAGGGATTATCATCACTGAATGGCTTCAAATTTAAAGTGTCACTAAATCTTCTTTAAGCATTGTATATTAGCGTTCGTTTAAAAGTTTTAACCTTCAAACTCTCAATCAAGAAAAAATTGAGATTGCAATTTATCAGGTTTGTAAATTTTGTTAAAATCGTCAATAAGAAAAATAATTAAGTAATGCTCAAATGATGTATACTTTTTTTGGAAAACAAATAAATCTGAAATTTTAATTTTGATTGCGTGCCGTAACATACTGAATTGCTTTCCGGCTTAGCAGGTTTTAATAATGATGGTTAAAACTTTATGAAACGGGACGTTAATTTACAAGAATTTATGAACTTTTTCGAGAACTTTCTCATTAAACTTTTTCCTTTTCCCTAAAAAAATTGCGAAAAATCTTGAATATCTTACAACTGACAAGTATGACAAATGACGTCAGTCATATTGATGGTCGATATTTTTGTTTTCATTTAATATTTTCAGATTTGTGGTACGAATACAACGAACACGACTTCACGATGGGTTATATACTTTCCAAGTTTAGGGTAAGGAGTTTTAAAAGATTTGAGCATTTTAAATTGTAATTTTTTATACCTTTTGGTAAAAACAGGGGCTTTCATTAACTAATTATCAGTGATCTTCCAATTAAAAAATGACATGTCTGATGTTCAACTATACCCTTAAACTTTTTTCTAAACATAAATGATAAAAATTTGCTTGTTTTTCAATCGATCTTTAATTGTGTTTTCGCTCTATGGAAAAGTGACAAAAAACGTAATTTACAGAATTCATCCCTTTTAATTTTGAATTGAAAAAACGACGATTTCCCCCCCCCCCCTTTTTTCAGGTTTTAGGTACTCCCCTAAAGGCATTTCCCAAGGGCGACTTCCTAAATGACAATTTCCCAAGTTGCAACTTCCCAAGTGTGCAATTTCTCAAGCTGCAACTTCCCAAAGGTTAGGTTAGGCCCTCTGAGGCGCCGCAGGCTGCAGGGGGGGAGGCGAGCGCTTCGGCTAGGATGGGCGCCGCTTTGGAAATTTCACATTTGGGAAAAATCCTTTGGGAAAGTACCTAACATCTTTTTTTTATTCATATAAAGACTTACAGGGAACTGTGTGAATCAGGCATTCCACTCTTTGACTGGAGTGCCACCTAAAATAATGTATTCAGTCCCATTAATTTATGCTGTATTTGCATTTGGATTTTACAAACATACACGGAGACATTCTTAACAAATGGAGGACAACAGAAACGATTCAAATTATATTATTTTAGAAGAAGAAGAGTACTCTAGATATCTTGGATGGAATTGAGAAGGAGATAAACAGGCAGATTATTTTAACTCTTGATAGAATATGGCCCCCCCCTTTTCGCTAACAAATTCTAATGGCAGATTATTTAACCGCAAACAAACATCAATTTCACAATTTTGGAACTTTTTTTTAAATTGGCATTCTTATTGAAATTACAGTCCACAGGATAATTTCTTTTTTAAAAATAAATTTTTTCATTTATTATGACGTTTTCACGGAGCGCCACATTTTTTTTAAAAAGTTTTATTCGCTGAAAAGGGGAAAAAATATGACTTTTTATGTAAAAATAAATAGTTCTTGGAGAAGAAAAATAAAAATGGTGAAGAAAAAAACAATAGTTTAATTTTCATTTCTTTCACCAGATCAAAAACATTTGAAAATTTCTACGGATTGATGGTTCACCGTTAACCGTTATTTATAAACCGTTTAAAGACTAAATAATCTGTATTGAAGAATAACGGCTTGTAAGAATAAGAATGTGGCATCACAGAATACTCTCATCAAATATATTCTTACATATGGGTGAGATAAATTGAAAATATTAAGTTTTACTTTTGAAATAAAAAAATGTTTTTTAAATGCTAAATTGTATTTTGGTCACTTGTCCATAATTCAAAATTACTTCTTGTATTTTCAGAGTTGTTTTCTGGCTTGGGGCTCTAGGGCTTATTTATTATTTGTACCGTACTGCACAGCGTACAGACGAGTACATACTGCTAGTTCCTCTAGTGGTAATAATACCTTGTCTGCTCTTTGTGTTTAGGTATAGTAATTTCCTCCAATTTTTTTCTTAAAACCGGAAAATTTTGTTTTTAAAAGGATTAAAGATTGTGCTTGTTTGTGTAAAAAATAGTTTCATTTTACCTTTTTTAATATTTTTTCTCTTTATTGTGCCAAAGGTATTTATGAAAACTTTTACCTTTGATAAAATCAAAACATTGTTTTTTCACCGAAAGTAATTGACAAGCTTTAAAACCTGAAATCAACACTTTTATGTTGTGAATTTATCCTCAAATTGAAAAGGGCCCCCATTGGATATTGAGATCAAGCTTTTAAGATAAACAATACTCTACTCAAAAGTTATGACCTCCTCTGGTTGGGGAAAATCACCTTGAACATTTGGGGGGAAGTATATTTTAACCCCATCCTCAGTATAAAAAAAATTACAATTCATATACTTCTAGCTTTTTCATTTTTCGATTTTTTAACATCAGAGCTTTGGAATTTTATGCATTAAATCAAAATTTTAAGAAAAGTATCTTAAACTAACTAGTTAAAGTAATTTAAATTAAATAATATTAATAGTAACGAGGCATGTCCAAGATAGTTTTTCAAGTTGAGTGTTGACGTTTTTAGGCAGTGCTTAGGATCCATTTAATTTTAATGCGGATCGGGATCCGGTTCCTGGATCCGCACTGGAAAAAAATGGATCCGGATCCAGGTCATTTCTTTAAGATTTACTGAATTTTTTTAACAAAAAGTTATTTTAAAAATTTTTTAAATTATTTTTTTCGCTTATTTTTATTCTAAAACTTGATGAACCATTCAGAAATGAGGAAATTTTTATAATCTCTTTTAATTTTAAAGTTCAGAGTTGGGTTTTATGAGTAAAAAGGTTGTTTTGCAGTTTTTGGTTGATATTTTACCCCTTGGATCCGGATCAAGGAAGCCAAAATCTTGCGGATCCAACGGATCCGATCCTAAGCACTGTTTTTAGGAATATCTTGTGGACAATGGACATGCATCGTTAACGATTAAACGTTTTGTCATTCAGAGATGATATTAGAGGGATTAAGAAATTTATTTTAGGAAAATACTGTCCTGGTGGTATCACAGGAAAATAAATAAAGATGATGCAAAGCTTATTAAACTCAAGGTATGTGATCTATTGTAATCACATTAAAAATAGAAACTTCATTATTATTTTAAATAGTCTTTTACTTCATATCTTAATAAGACAAATATAAGTCAGTTTTAAGTAAACCCCAACTGTTCACAAAATTATTTAGTATAAATATTTAACCCTGTCTAAGATGTGAAAGCTATAGATTTAACCCTGTCTATGATAAGAAAGCTATATATTTAATCCTGTCTAAGTTGAGAAAGCTATATATTAAACCCTGTTTAGGATGAGAAAGCTATATATTTAACCCTGTCTTGGTTAAGAAAGCTATCTATTTAAGTCTGTCTAGGATGAGAAAGCTATAGATTTAACCCTGTCTAGAATGAGAAAGCTATATATTTAACCATGTCTAGGATGAGAAAGCTAAATATTTAACCCTGTCTTGGATGAGAAAGCTAAATATTTAACCATGTTTAGGATGAGAAAGCTAAATATCTAATCCTGTTTAGGATGAGAAAGCTAAATATCTAATCCTATTTAGGATGAGAAAGCTAAATATTTAACCATGTCTAGGATGAGAAAGCTAAATATCTAATCCTGTTTAGGATGAGAAAGCTAAATATCTAATCCTATTTAGGATGAGAAAGCTAAATATTGAACCCTGTCTAGGATGAGAAAGCTAAATATTTAACCATGTCTAGGATGAGAAAGCTAAATATCTAACCCTGTCTAGGATGAGATAGCTAAATATCTAATCCTGTCTAGGATGAGAAAGCTACATATCTAATCCTGTCTAGGATGAGAAAGCTAAGATCCTGGACGAGGTAATGGAGAAGGAAACCTTCAAGGTTGCTACACAGATCCTTGAGAGATTTGATCCTTCTAAACTCAGTAGCAAAGGATAAGAGATTAAATATTTTTAAGCACAATTATTTTATTAAAATCACTAAAGACTTTTTCGTAGAATTTTAACTTTTGGGTTAAAAAGTTTAATAAATTTGATAAGAAACTAGGAAAAAGATAAAAAATGAAAGTTGATAAATTCAACTTTTTTGTCCTTCATCTTTATATTTACTTTGTTGCAGGTCCTGGTTCTCGTCAAATATCTGTTCCGCGCCCACTTAACCCTGGGATGGAATTAAGGAAACGCCCACTAACCCCAAACCTAAACTCTTCTCTATCTGCTGCACCTAAACAACAGGTGGGTGGAGTATATATAACGTTAAGACAGAAAAAAATCTATTCTCGTTCTCTTTTTTTATATGTTATAGGACTATTCCGGAACGACCATTTCAGATTGGCTAGCTTTATCACTATTCAAGCGAATCAGTGTTCAAATATTTGTCAACCACAAAGACATTTTCCGTTCCTGTGTCTGTCTGTGTGAAAATTTTCTTTTTCAAATTATTCTTTTTCCTGATTTGTTTCTCCGGAATCCATCCCTTCAGTTTGCCAAAAATGTCGGCTCTTTGTGATTTTAAAATAATTTTTTAGCCTCCTCCCGAAAACCTGAACCAGACAATCGCTGTTATGCCAGCATTTGGACTAGGCGGAAATTCCGCCCCTCCTCCGCCTCCGGGAGGGCGGGGCCAGTTTCCAGGACGTGGTCCGCCCCTGCCCCGCCCTGTGCTCCCGAGGGAGCGAGGATATTTGGATAAATTTGTTGAGTATCTGGTCGGGGATGGTCCTGCTAATAGGTCAGTTCTTTATTCAGTAATTTCTTAACTTCTTACTTTTTCCCTTTAAAGGAACTGTAGACGTAATTTTAAGTGACATCCATATTTATGCAAAAAGATAAAGAAAATAAGGTTCTTTCTAATTTTGTGTGTTCTCTATAAAAGTGAAAAGGATTTTACAGAATTCAACGCTTAAAATGGATAAACGGCAATTTTTCCCAAATTTTTTATCAGAAAAATGTTTAAAAAGCACCGTTGTGAATCGGACATGCCACTCTTTTTATTTTAACTTGAGATTATTATCTCTGCACTCCACACCATTACTGTTCCTTTAAGTACAAAATTTTCCCCTTCGGATAAACTCCTCGAGTCCTAGTTTTTATATTTTGCTAATCTGTTAAGATATGCTTTGATCTGTCGTCAATGTCAGTCCCACAACGGAATGGCGCTACGTGAAGAGTTTGAATATGTTTCCTATAGATGTTGCTACTGCCACTATTGGAACCCAGCTAGGTATACATATTTTTCCAAGCAAAAATCAACTAACCCCCTCCCAGAAAAATAGGGGTGCATAATCTTGCCCGGTAGGGGGCCAGAAATTAAAATTTGACCGAACAGGGAAGAGAAATCAATTTTAAAGAGAAGAGTAAACGTGAAAAAGAGAATGAAAAGATAAAGAAAAAATGCGGTATCTCGGGGGAAAAACACAGAATAAGGGAGGAGAATTCAATTAAGTTTGAATTTTCTTTTCGAAGCTTGATTAAAAATAATCAAAAAAAGGAACAAAAATTTAATTTTGGTTTTTTTGTTTTACACAGTACACACACACCTTCGTGATGCAACCGAGTGTTACCAAACAGGGGAAACAAAAATATTTAAGAATGTACAGTGTACACCCCAGAACAAAAAAAAATTTCCTTTAAATTTTTTTCTACAGATATCATAATTTTCTCTTTAAAAAAGCCAATTTAGCAAGAAAAAAATCTATTTACCAAGTTTTGCTCAAACGTGTATAAACTTTGGAGGAAAAGTATTTTTAAGGATGGGTGTGGGAGGAAAAAGTTTAAACCGATTGGAATAATTTTGATTTAATTGGTTTAATTGTTTTGATTATGTTTATATATCACGGGTGTGATAATTTAAAACATCTCTTTTCCGACTTCATTGGCCGTTCAGGAATTCAGCCAATTATCGAGCTTGTTTTTGAAAATGTTCAGGTTTCCAGCACTTTTGATTTTATATGGAATATCATACCATATATTGATAACTTTCGCACTAAAAATGTTGAATAAAAGGTAAAAAATCTTATTTTAGGAAGCAGCGACCTGTAGCCCCTAAACTACCAGATCCATCAACATTTAAACCTCAAGATATTGATTCATCAGATGGTATGTACTGAGGGAGGGAGTGCAACCTCCCATACACAGCTTCCAAACCTCTTAACACATTTGTGCCTGTGCGCGTCCCAATAGGGCTTCCGAACCTCCCCCAAACAGTCTTCCGGGAATTATCTTCCATTTATAATCGTCAATTTCTACTTTAAACGAAACCAACTCGATTATTTAAGCACGGTAGTCTATCTATAGTATCTATAACATTTTCATAATATATTTATTTCTTATTTACAACCAAAGTTCGGACTGGAAAAGCCAAAACGTTTTAGATTTTGTTTGATATCGTGTTTCTTCTCCCCCCCCCCCCTCTTATTTACGTCTGTGATTGGTTAGTTTTCTGAGTCTGGGCTATGATTGGTTTAAGCATCTTCGTTATAACTTTACAATGCAATTTTTGCAACGCTAAAACTAAAGAGAATGTAGATTTTTCGATCTATATGTATTTCAAATCTATAGTGCTTGTAAAGAAAAAGCCCCAAATAGTTTTAAAATCATTAGGTTATAACAGAGTTTTGTTTTCAATAAATATCTCAATAATTAGAAAGAAAATTTACAATCCGCGATGTATTTTAGAATCTACATTTTATGAAGAATATTTTTTATTTGTCTACTTTTCAGTAAAAGCTATTCATAAAAAGCCCGAGCCATTCCAAGATTTGTTGAGAAAAAAATATATAAATAAATGCTATTTTCTGTATTTTCTTGCACATCAATCTTTTGCTTTATCAGAGGAAAATATAATTTTAGTAATTTCTGACGCCATCAGAGAGTTAAAATTTAAAAATTTCGTTTTAATTCATTTAAATAGCCGATTTTAAACGGAAGATCATTTCCGGAAGAGTGTTTTGGAGAGGTTTGGAAGCCCCATGGGGACGCGCACTGCCGCAAATAGGTAATATGAAGTTCGAAAGCTGTGCGGAGGAGGTTGCCTTCCCCCCTTCCTCATGTACTATGTAGTCGTAGTAAATTAACTTCAAATTTCGAAAGAAAAAAAATTGATTTCCGGAAACTTTTCTTTCTTATTTGTTTGAGAACCCGATTTAACCTTGGATTATCCTCTAAAGTACAATGTTTTAGAATCGTCCAAATCAGAGAAAAATTCGGCAGTCAATTCTCGGCGGTCCAGTCTGGGAGAATCTGAGGTAATTACTTTGGCAGGAAATATTTTTCCGATTATATATTTAATATTTAATATTTTTGCACATATTATCAGACATTTTCATTGCTAAATTTCTTGGTTAGGGTAGAACTGACGAGACCAGTGTACGAATTAAATGTATTTAAGCCGCGTCTTAAATCCCCAAAAAACTGGTTTCAATTGAGCGCCAGCTTAAATCCTTGAAAAATGTATTACAATTTTAAGTGGAACCATCCATATTTGAGCCGCGGCTTAAATTTAAGTTGCGGCTCAAATTCTTTGAATTCGGCCTCAGATTTTACATAAATATCAAAACAATGATGACAAAGGATTTGAGCCTTTGCCCCGAACTTAAATTGCAACCCAATGCCGTAGACCTTAGATATTTCAAGCTAAGGATTTAGGTAGATCAAATAATCTAAGTTTGAAATATCAAAGATTTGCACCATCAAGTTGCTAAGATAAAAGGATTAGAAAATTTGAGATTGTGACAAAGACTCAAGTCCTTTTCTTTTGTTTTGATTTCCGACAAGATTTTTCCAAGAATTTTCCAATCAAAAAAATCTGGTGATTGACAGCTTCTCTTTGTTTTTATGTTTATCAAACCTGTTATAAATCTTTATAGAATTTAAAATTGAAATTTAAAGTTGCTTCACTGTATTGATATATATGTCGACGAATGTATGAAGTGTTGTGTTTCAGCAGGAGACCAAAGCAATTGAACCGAAAAGTCTTGAACCTACCGCTGATAAGCCAGAAGACGATGAACCTGCAGAGTCTAGCGAGGATAGGATTCCACCAACAGCAGAGAACAATGCCGCGAGTAGTAGCGAGCATATAGAGCTTATAAACCAGGTGAGAGAATCTAGTTTTATTTAGGATGAGTAATGCCAAGTGTACATGGTCTAGATAAGTGCAATTGGGGTCGCGCAGTCAACAAAAAAATGATAGAATTCTATAAATATTTAATTATACTAGGTTAAAATCATAACATTTTGCATCATTGACTCCTATTTTTGATTTGAAAAGGTCCTTGGCCCCATGTTTCTTTCACGTTGGGGCTACCCCCCCCCCCTCCCCCCAGTTGCGCATCTGTCAAGATATTAATTGTACCTGTATACTGTACAGCATAATCCTTACTTGCCGTTACATAAAAGCCATAAAATGTTAATATGAAGCAGAGTAACCGGCGTAGAAACAAGAATTATGTTTTCTGAAACTGGCATATCTTTATGATTAGCCTTGAACGATTATAAATATGTAAATTGTCCTAATTGGCAAAAAAAAAAATCAATATATTTTTATATCCTCGTCAGTCCTACAGAAATTGACTTGGGGAAAAGATCTAAAATAAAAATAATTTTTTTCATATATTTTATATATTTGATTATGGATAAATGAGTTGTTCATTGTGGATTTAAACGTCAAGTTTTAACATAAATTGTTATAAACTAAGTGCAAGTTGCAGAAATCCCTAATTTTAATTTATAAAGTTAAAGAATAAGACTTGTACAGTCAAATGACATTTGTGTCCCAGAGGAAGTTAGCCTGAATTAAATTCAGCCCGGTGTCACGTTAAATAGCGCCTGGTTGCACGATGGTTTTATATATAAGCCCCAAGTTTCCAGAAGAAATTCTGTGCCTGTAAATTTTCGGGATGTAAAATATATAAATAGATAAAATCAAATTAAGAAATTAAATGCTTCTTTTATTATTCAATGGTGTTAAGGTTCTGTCAGAAATGTTTTGAATTGTCCGGTTGTGTACATACAATGTACATGGTTGGAAATACGCATGTACTCAAGTAAGCCCGTGCATGTAAATCGTACATATTTTTTACAGTCTGATAGTTTCATTTCTGACAATATTTTACTCTTCATAAAAACTAATTTCTCTCATTTTTAAACTAATTAACTTACTCAACTCTAATTGGTGTAATTAGTGAGATAATTTTCATAAGAGAATTTTTTTGCATTTAGATTTTTAAATCATGGTTTTACAGGATTTAGACTTTAACCATCTACTAAAACAATTAATATTTATTTTGTTTTTAGTTTTTTTAACATTCAGTAGTTTTTTTTTGGTACAGAAATAAATATTAGTTTTTTCATTGATTTGTTAAAAAAATAAGGATTAGAGAGATAGAGAGATAGTCCTGGTCTTTGTTTGGAAACTTGTGTACACAATAACCTTGCAAGTACAAGATTTATATAAAATCAAACTGTTCCGGACGTCTCACCCCCATCTACACATTAAACTCACAGTAAATATACTAAATTGGGAATTGTGCGAGGACTGTGCATGTTTTACATATAGGAGTCTCTTCGGCTCACCTCAATTTGCACTGATTGAAATCTTACATATATCTCAGGTGTGCAGATTAAACAGGACTCAACCGTGAACTGAAAACACAATAAATCAGTTCAAGGTTATGTTAATTGCATACAACAACAAAATTGCTAGCCTGATGTAAAATGGACCTTTTAAATGTTTTTACATTAAACTCTCAGATTATATAACAAATTTTGGACATTAAGAGTATAAATTGTAGATTCGTTGTATTTGTAGAGATTTGTAGGATTAGTAGAGTGAAGCTAGGGTTTGTCTGTAGAACGAGCTGGAGAACTTCTCGACGTTGAACACGCTGAACACAATAGTTTATCAAACAGTTGAACCCAGAACTTCAGATTTATCCAAATAATTTTAAAAATGTCGTTTTGATAATAATTTTTCAATAGGTTTTATACTTTTATACCTAAATCTCAGAAATGGGAAAAATAAATTAATATAACATATTCGGGAACAGTTTTAAAGAGCTCCATATAATGACACAATTAAAAAACTAATTATCTTCAGGATTCCATTATCAGTAGGGTAAGAAAACGATATTTTATAAATTCTTTTGATGTCTTCGAAGTTCTGGGTTAAACTGTACCATATGTTAACTTCTTATTGGGTTTTAATTTAATAATTCTACACTCGTAGCGAACGTTATTGCAACTTTTTTATTATTCTAACTGAGGGTTAATGTTACGTCGTCTATACGCATTATCCCCCTACTTAACTTCTGACCTACTAATTTTCCGACCTACGGCAATAGGGGGCCGAGCGCTGCGGCTATGACAGGATAGGGGCCGGGTGCTGCGGCCACAAGTTCATATAGCAGCTGTAAAAGCACGTGCTAGAAAATCGGATGTGTAGTATAGCGGATTTTGCGTAGGACAGAAGTGGAGTATAGCGGATATAAGTTGATCGCAAGAAAAAACTATTTTTGTTTTTCAGGACGTTGATGTTGGTGATTCAGAGCCCGGAAATGAAAACATGGATGTGGACAAGGATTTGTAGTTTTGCAGCGGCCATCTAAAGAGTAAACAAAATGAATTAGTTTTATAATTGAAAATTGGTTGAAAAAAATGAGAAAAAGAAAGAAAAAATTAACAAATATGGAAATATGGAAAAGTAGAACTGCTTGAGAATTGTTCGGCGGTAATCTCTTAAAGTTTATGTGTCATGAACTTCATGACAGCCATTCTGCTAAATGTAAGATTTGAATAGTGCTTCTTTGTTTTTTTTTAATATTTGATGATCGCTAATGGCTGATAAATCAAACAAGTAAAGATTAGGCATGCGCTGAAAAACAAATAATTTTCCTCAACCAATTGTTTAACTAGTCTAGCACGTTTGTACTTAATTGAGTTTATTTTTTATAGTACAGTGAAACCCTTAATAACGAATACATCGGAAGAATTTATCAAATGTCGTCTTGACAATTTTTCAATAACTATAGTTAGTTATTAACTATATTTCGTAAATTTCAGTACTTGCGAAATTAAATAAATAGTCATGAATATCCGTGAACAGTTTTAAATAGTTCCAAATAATCATTTAATAAAAAACTAAATATCTGCAACATTCCATTATCAGAAAGTGAAGAATACGACATCTGGTGAATTCTTTCGATGTATTCGTTATTAAGAGTTTTACTGTAAAAAAGGTAAATAAAACATAATAATAAATACACAGATAGGACATGAGTGAATTAAATTCAGCCCGGTGTCACGTTAAATAGCGCCTGGTTGCACNCCCCACTGAATCTAAACTTTGAGAGAATTAAGCAGTATGCATGACCATATAAAACCAATTCAAGATGTTAAAAAACCCCATAATATAAGTCCGAAAAAATATTATTTGTATCTCTGAAAAACCTGAGTTAATGCCAGAGTTTAAATTTTTATTTTCAATATTTTTCTTGACACTTTAAGTTATTTTTGAGACATCCCTTGGATTTTGTTCTATCTGTGTATGTGGTGGATAAATGTATCTACATCATTTTGTTATGTACTATCTCCACTAGGTGAAACTGAAAAATAAGAAATCTACATTTCTAAGAAATATTCTATTTTTAAAGCTCGACCATTTTGTGGGTTTGTCGACCCGTTTTGGTATTCCGGAACCAACAACGCTTTAAAGTGCCTTAATCCTACTAACGTGTGATTGTATTAATATAATATAATTTATGAAAAAATAAATTGTATTTTCGTAAAATTCTTGATGAGCATTTTTAGTGTGAATTACTGTTTAAACGGGTAGCTGGCACTAACAAGAATGTATACAAAATGGTTTCCATGGCGAACGAAAATTGTCGTGAAGAAAAAATACAAAAAATTTCTTTTGAATGTTGCAAACTTGTTCGAGAAAATGAATTTAACGAAAGGAAGCGAAAACTATACTAAATTTCGCTAAAACTATCAATGTTGTAGCTGCTCTGCAACAATTAATTGCGCAAAAAAACTTTTGAAAATCTCTACTCTGACTCCTCTGACTCTGAGAGCTCAGCATTAGAAGTTGGATAACCTAAATACAGCCAGCCATTTAGTCTTACTAAATCCATGCCATTGCCTCCTGCTTCCAGTTTTACCAACTATTTTCTGACATATTTAATGCAGATTTTTTTCCATTGCAAACTTCTTTTTTTCGCTAATTATCATATTTTTCCGACAAATTTTCGCCTTTTTTTCCGCCTAATTTCGCATTTTTCGCGAAACAGATTAAAACGAGAAAAAGAATTCGCCAACGATTTCTCCATTTCGCTCGAAAACTCTAATATACAGGATAAATCTAGGCTGTGGTCAGATGTTTCCCTCCCAAGAGGGTAAATGCTTAAAATTCAGAACATTAGTTTGGATTTCAGGCAGTGCTTAGGATCCTCAACAGTTGGGCTTCCTAGATCCGGATCCACAAAAATATGCGGATCCAAGACCAAGAGGTAAAATATCAATCAAAACCATGTTGCTCTCATAACATAAATATTAAATAATGAGAAACTTCCAAATCTCTGAATGGTTTTTCAAGTTTAACATTAAAATCAAGAAGGAAAAAAATTGCATCTAGAAGTTTATAACCTGTATCAGGATCCAGTTTTCAGGACGGAAAGTTATATCTATACCGGATTATTTTTCAAATCAGTTGATGTCAATAAGATTTTTGTTGTAATGTAATGTATTATCTCACGAAGTAAATCAGCTTCGTTCGTCACAGCAAGAAAACTTTCAGAATAGTCTCAAACTTGATCCATTGGAGTCTGTTTTAGACTCTTTAAGTGGGTTTAAAATAAATGAGAAATGAAGTATTTAATGTATATTAATTTTTCTCTTAACCCAATTAAAGTTCATAAAACGTTTATATTTTCTATATTTTTGACCATCTTTCGGGTTTTAATGGTCTTCTCCCGCCCGGACATGTCATAAACCTTAAAATATTAATTTTTCTCTTAACCCAATTGAAGTTCATAAACTCATTAATATATGCGTACTTGAACATACAGGGTGTCCCACGAAACATGACAGTATGCAGGACGACTTGACTGTCGTCTTGATTTTTGATATAATTTGCTGCGTTTATTTGTCAATCTAATTTTAGAAGTAAATTTCTAGAGATAATAATCACAAAATTTCCCTTGTCCTGCCATTTCCAAAATGTGGTCTGCCTTTTTTGTGCTTTCAATATTGCCCGAGATATGAAGAATTTCGTTCAGATTTCGACAATTTTGCTTTTATTTAACAAAATTGAAATCTGAACCAAACTCTTTATATCTCCGGTAATATTGAAAGCACAAAAAACGCAGAGCACTTTTTGGAAATGCCAGGGCTAGGAGAATTATGTGATAATTGTTTCAAGAATCATACATGTTAAAGAAGATAGAAGACTAAATGTCACAAATAAATTCAAATACCAAAGACGACTTTCAAGTCGTCTTCCTATTGTCATGTTTCGTGGGACACCCTGTATTTAAGGGTTCTGTTTAGATTTTGCATCGTCTAATAAATACATCTTTGGGATAACCAAGCCCCCCAAAATGTCCTCTTTTCTGTTCAATATTCTATATATTCCTATGCTGTGATAACGAAGCAAATCTAAACTCCTTACATTACAACAACAATCTGATTGCCGGCAAAAACATCACCGACAAAGATAAATAAACTTTAAAAATAAAAATTTTAGAGCTAAGACTTCTAGAAGTACACCTCAGAAAATTTTAGCAAAACTTATTGTAAAAATTAAAATACAATTGATAATGAATAATATATCTATGCTCGATATACAAAATATATATAAAGTTGTAATCTCTGCTTGTCCTGATGGGGAACTCGGGAGAACCACGGGAATACGCTTTGCTTGGTTTTGAGATTCTAAGTTGAGTAGGTTAACGTTAAAAAGTTAAACAAAAATGTGATTAACTACCTCCAATATCAACCTTTCTTTGCTCTTCAGTTTAAAATGAACAAAGTAAGGTACAGGGTTGCCCAAGAAACATGACAGTAGTAAGACGACTTGAAGGTCGTCTTTTATGTTTGAACTAATTTGCGGCATTTATTCTAAACATCATGGTAGAAGAAAATTTCTAGAAATAAATACAAGATTCATTTTGTTGGAGTTGCTCCCCCCCCTCCCGGACATTGAGGATGGAGAAATCTTTATGTTTCAATTAAAATTCTGAAATTACGTGATTTTTTCTCTAAAATATTTCATATATTCATATTTTGCAGTAAAGTTTTGTAAAAACTTTAACTATGAGATTATTTATTTAATCACTTGGTTAATGACTTTCATTTATCCCAAGCACATGTGTTTAGCATACAGGGTGTCCCAGTATACATGGGAATTGAGAGAAGATTTCGATATCGTCTTTTTATATAATTCTTTGGTTTAGTAAAGTGATCTACTGATTTTCGTCTGCTATGTTTACTATTTGTTTGTTTATGTTTTGACTGCATACAATTGTACTTTATAGTAAAACAAGAAGTATACAAACAAAGTAAACTTGTCCGTCTGCACTGTTCATCTTGCGGAGACATTATAGACACATCTTTATAGCCATAAAATAAACTGCTAGAGAAGGTTTGGGACCTTGGAAGAAGTTTACTTGAAGTACGAGAATCTAAATTCATAGGAGATTTTAATAACTAAACTTTAATTGTAACCTGTAATTCAGTAATTTTTTAAGAAGAGTATTGTTTATGTCCAATTCTTTAAAAGGTTTAAATACCCCTCCTTACACAAGCCGCCCGCCCTTGATTTATGTAAAAGTTCATTAATTAGATCGACCACTTTAAACACATAAATATAAACAGTTTGTTTTTAATCTTCATGACAGAAACAATCTCAAGGAATAATAATTGTCTTAAAAGGAGCACGATCATTTGCTATCAACTCACTTGCTATCAACTCACTTGCTATCCCCTCACTTGCTATCAACTCACTTGCTATTCCCTCGCTTGCTTTCAACTCACTTGCTATCAAACTCATTTGCTATCAACTCATTTGTTATCCCCTCGCTTGCTATCAAATCACTTGCTATCAACTCAGTTGCTATCAAACTCATTTGCTATCAACTCACTTGCTATCAACTCACTTGCTATCAACTCACTTGCTATCAAACTCATTTGCTATCAACTCAGTTGCTATCACATTCATTTGCTATCAAGCCTCATTTGCTATACGGCCTCAACTGATCGACACACTTGCTATCAAGCCTCACTTGCTATCGGGCCAATTTGCTATCAATCCTCAGTTGCAATCAACAATTTTTCTATCAATCATCATTTGCTATCAAATTTTCGACTTACTCTCAATCATTACTTTAACCAGTTTTTTTTCTAAAATTTGTCAAAATTTGGAATTCTTCAGTCTCTGGCAAACTTTGCGTGGGCATGGAGTCGGCTCGTTTTGTTGCCATCAGGAAAGGTACCAACCTTTTAAAAGACGGCAATAACTACTTTTATTTTCATTATAAAGACAAGATCAACAATACACAGGCCACCTACATGTACCAGAAATTTAATTTTATAAATTAATATTATTTGAACAACCATATATAAACTGGTTTCGTAATATAAACTAAGAACTGGTTTTAATAGCAACTTATTTAGAAACTACTATTTTGATAGCAAAGTATTTGGATAGTAACTAGTTTTGGATAGCAGATGAACATTGATAGCAGTTGAGACTGGAGAGCAAACGTTTTAATAGCAAGTGAGGCCTGATAGCAAATTGACCTGATAGCAAGTGTGGCGAGAGCAAGTGACGCCTGAGTGCAAGTGAGGCTGAGAGCAAGTGAAACAGATAGCAAGTGAAACAGATAGCAAATGAGTTTAATAGCAAGTGAGTTGATAGCAAATGAGTTTAATAGCAAATGAGTTGATAGCAAATGATCGTGCTCCTCTGAAAACATTCTTTAAAAAGTGAATATTTGCAAATTATCTTTTTCCATCTAATGATCTGAGTTCGTTTTCCTTTTGTCCATTTGATAGTACATTTTTTTAAACTAAACTTTTTTCTCTGTTTATTTTCTTGTGGTTTTTTAAACATTTTTTATTATCGATTTTAATGGCTATTATATCGTTAGAAACTGACGAGGGTCAACTCAGACCGAAATATATATTCAATAAAATGTGGAACTAACATCTACTTTTTTACTCTACAGAGGTTGGGTATTACCATCACCGAATTTTAAAAATAACAGCTTAATATCGATCAAAATTGAAATCGAAAGTCGTCTTAATTGTATTGATATTTTTTCCTATCACTGAATGAAATGTATTTTAATCTTTTCCCTATTTTAGCTGGGACTGCAGAGTTATTATATTTATTTACATTCAGATTTAATGTAAAGTTTGGTCTCAAGACAAAGTTAAATTAAAATTTTTTTCAAATTAAATGTTTCAGTTTAACTCTTTATACACAACTAAACACAGTGAACAATGTAACATTGTAAAATGTTTGTACTATTAATAAAGTGCATCTAAATCGGGAGCTATGTGAAATTTATAAAGTTTATGTCTATGTACTTTTTGTTCTATTGAAAACCTAATACAAAATTTATTTAGTTTATTTGGTGAGAAGTTTTTCAATTTGATCTGGAATTGAATTCCTCTTCTTTAAATTAGCAACAAGAGGTGACACATTTATGTTGACTTTAAAAGTCACTATATTAAACTAAAGAGATCTAAAATGGACATTTCTAACATTTATTTAAAAAACGAAGGTTTTGAAATATTTGCTTATAAGGCGGAGTTAAAATTGGTTGATTTAGAAATTAACAAAGGAATTAATGATGAATATTTGTGGGTACTTCATGGGAGTGATGTAGAGCTTCATGTTGGTGGAGCAGATCAACAGGAACTGGAACAACAGGGCTTATCCAACCTAGTAGGCAGAGATCGCGGTTTAATCATGATCCCATTGAGCGATTATGTTGTCTCTGGAACGCAATATAAACTGGGAACCCTTTGGGTAAGCACGTCTGCTGCTAGCTGAGTATCTGCGTCATCATCATAAAGGAGTCAAGAGGCTCCCTGTGTCGGAGCTGTTACTAGCTCAACTCTCCTAACCTGACTGAGGGCTGGGAATGGGATGTGTAGAGGGGCGAGGGTGACATGTGGGCGCTTCATAGCGGAAATGGATACACACGTCTTGAGAATAGGTGACGGCATTTGAGTCGGTAAAATTGTCTTCCTTGTATTTCGAAAATTTGTGTTAACAATTTAACATGAGAGATGTCCACTTGAAGGTTTATCTTTGAAATAATTATTTGCATTTATTTGATAACCTAATTTCCTTAATACCATTCCTTGTGTTTCTAAAATGTAGTCTGCCTTTCTTGTGCCTGCTAAATCCCAGGAGCTTTTGTGCATTTTTCCGTATCATAAAAAAAAATCTCATTAAATGTCCCCTAAACTATTTCTTAAACTATTTGTATATAACATGGCAGAAAAAAACTTCAAACCGCAGTGAGTCTCAATAAACATTTTATTAAGGAATTTGCTGCGCAAAATGGTGTAAAACAGAATTATGGGAAAACAAGATACCGAGCAGACAACTTGGATAGCTTGGGGAAAATACATAGCAGCTTAATATTCAAAGTCAAGACGACATGATATAAATTCTTTCAATGTCTTCTTATAAGTTTAACTATAAAAAGAATCCAAATTAAACTTATCTCACAAAAAATAATGTAATCTGAAAATTTTATTGATTCCTTTACTCCAAAATTTAAATGATATTTTCCAGTTTTGTACTTAGAGTGTAAATATACAAAAAAAATAGTGTTTTGGGCGTTAACGTCAACAGCTGCTTACTACAGAAATTTGGGGGATAATGGGGAAACCAGTGTGATTTAATTGTTGGCTTTTATAACTAAAAGTAAGGGGGAAGACAACAATTATGAATTCAAGAATTCATCTTGAGATAAAAAATTTAGAATTTCTTTGTAATACAAAAGCAGCACCAGAATCTTCCTAGAGGATTTTTTTAGGTAAATTTGACCTTTTTAGTCAAAATGTAATTTTTAAAGAGTTTAAATGATTTATTAAAAGAATGAAATTGTGTTGTTACAGTTTAATTACTATAGTGTCCATGAAACTCAAAAAGATCAGGCATTTTTCCATATCTATAGTATCCATATCCATGGCCATTCATAACCTCTGTCTGGTAGGTCAAGTGGCTAATAGGTTCCTTGGTTATGGTTCTTTGGTCTATTGGTTCTTTGATAAATAGGTTCGTAAAATCGTCTTTACATATCGAAATTACATATCACCCGAAAACAAAACATCTGAAATAACGTTAAACCCATGAATACCAAATGTCCAGTAAAAAAATACCCGAAATTATTTATAGAACACACAAAAACAAAATGTTATATAACAAAAATCTAAAACACTATTAAGATGTTCATCTTAAATGTCGTCTTTTATCTTTCAACATCATCCTTCAATAGTAGGAATTCATCTATATACGACTGAAACGCAGTGACAATAACAGAATGCCGAAATTACATAAGACCTAAAAACAACATGTCTAATATTAAAACACCAGAAATTACATCAGGGGCGTACGAGGGGGGGACCGCGCCCCCCCCCCTCTACGCGTACCCCCCCCTGAGAGGCTGAAGGGGGCACCCATGGGGGAGGCTCTTTTAATATTACATCTGCTTGCATTTCCCTTCCTCAGGCCAGGCACAGTGGCGTACCTAGGGGGGGCAGTAGCCCTCTTGCTCCCCCTGGGAGTTCCAGGCGGGGCACTGCCCCCCTGGAAAATACAAAATTAAAAGGAAACTACGTTTAAAAAGTAACACCTGACAATGACAAAGACTAAGGATTTGTCTAAATTCACTGTTAATACAAGGAGAGAAAAGTTTTAGCCTTCTAAAGAGAATACTTCATTACACAAGATGTACTATGACGGAGAGCAGACTTAACGATCTTGCACTTACAACCTATAAGGCTGTCTGAGCTCTCAACTGAAAAAATTATTGAAATGTTTGTGCAAGCAAATCCCAGAAAATTGTAGCTTAAAAGAGTTGGGGAATATGTAGATTGAGTAAAAATTCTAAAATCTTCAGAAGAAATTTCGTTTATTAGTAAAAATATAATTTTTAATGATGCTGTGATATTGATTTAGTTACCTGTGATGGAGTTAAGTGATAACTTTATAAAGTTAAAAAGTTAGTTTTTAAAGTTAGTTTTTCAAGCAAAGGAATAATTTTTAGACTCTATAAGGTTAATAACCACCCAAAAAATGTAGTCTTTTTGGTGTATTTTTATGGTGAACAAAACAAGTCCAGGTGGGAGGGGGGGGGGGCAAAAAAAATTTAAAAAAGGTATCAATATTTTTTCAAAAAAGTTGTTTTTAAGGGGGCGGGACAATGTGGCCAAGGGGGGGACCCAAAAATTTTGGGTCCCCCCTAGGCAAAAGCCCTCGTACGCCCCTGAATTACATCTATATATTTTAACAAGCCGGCCAAATGGCTGGACCAAATGGTATGAATTTTTGTGTGGAAATTATTAAAAATAGACTTAAAGCAGACTTTTAATGCAAATTGTTTATGTATCATTAAAAACTTTATCATGTTGAAATGAAAAAATGCTTTTGGAGGATGTAATGTTAAAAAACGAATGGCACGGAGATGCTTTTGAGAGGCTTGGAGTTCAATCTGCGAATCAGGGGGCTCCAGAGATAATTTTGCAAGGCTCATGGTTGTTCTTCACCCCCTCCCTCGCAGGCCAGATTTAGAACTCTAAAAATTTAGAGTTTCTGCTGGTATCAGAAACTGGAATACTTTTATTTATGTGTTTAAAAAAATGCCGCTTTATATAAAATGATAGTTTACAAGTTACTTGATTCCAATGATTTGTGGGACACCCTGTGGCTTGTATCTATCTGTTGGTAAAGGTAAAATGGACCAAAAGTGAGAAAAAATTGTTTAATGTTTTCATCAATAATTTAGAAGAAAAGGTATTTTACCCTTTTCTTCTAAGGCAAAGTTCCGTTAACGAAACGGGGTTTTCCAAAGTTAATGAAAGAGTTCGCCAACAAACGGTAAAAACCGTTAATTTTTAAATCGTTAACTAAACAGATTAGCCGTTTTTGAAGAAAACAATTAATGTTTGAAAACGAAAACGAAATGTTTGTGTTTTAAAAAAATTTTGCTTGCGAAAAAAACGTTCTGTTCTTACCTTTAAACTAACAGCTGCCTGAAATTTTTCCTTTTTAACATTTGGAACTAACCGTTAACTAAACAATAGCTAGAAAAAGTTGGAACATGACAGCTCTATTGCTTTGAAGGTTGTAGCATCGATTTTTCATGAAACTAAACGCCAATCTAGGAAAACATTAAATTATCTCGTGAAATATAATATACTTTCAATATTATTATTTGGATATTCTATTTTTTCGATATCCTATTCTTTGGATATCCTATTTTTTTCACTATCCTATTTTTTATATACTATTCTCTTTTGATATCCTAATCTTTCGATATCCGATTCTTTTGATATCCTATTCTTTCGATATTCTATTCTTTTGATATCCTATTCTTTGGATATCCTATTCTTTCGATATCATATTTCGATATTGTATTCTTTCAACATCCTATTCTTTTGATATCCTATTCTTTCAACATCCTATTCTTGTGATAACCTCTTCTTGTGATAACCTCTTCTTTTGATATCCCATTCTTTTGATATCTTATTCTTAGGATATCCTATTTTTTGGTTTCTTATTCTTTTGATATCCTATACTCCTATTTTTTACGTACTATTCTTTTAATGTCCTTTTATTTCGATATCATATTCGTTTGATATCCTATTTTTTCGATATCCCATTCTTTTGATATCCTCTTCTTTCGATATTCCATTCTTTTGATATCCTAATCTTTCTTTATCATATTATTTCGACATCCTTTTGCTTAGATATCCTAATCTTTCGATATCCTATTCTTTTGATATTTTATACTTTTGATATCCTATTCTTTTGATAATCTTTACTTCTGAAATCCTATTCTTTTGTAGTAACAGAAATAAAAAGACAATTACAAATTGGAATGATTTATTGTAAAGAATGAAGTTGTGATTTACAGTTTTAATTTCTTGTTAGTCCAAAACTCTCAAAAATATCAATCATTTATCCGTAGTATCCATATCCATGGCCATATCCGTATCCTCGGCCATATCCATATCCATATCCTCGGTTATATCCGTATCCATAGCTGGGCTCGGCATCAGCAGACCTCTTTCCTAGGTAGTGTCCTGCATAAACTGGAGCATATCCATAAGAAGCATATCCAAGTCCATATGCACGTCCATATCCTCCGTACCCGTAGTATGCGCCAGCAGCAGGCAAAACAGCGGGTTCAGCAGCAGCGGTAGGCTCGGCATCAGCAGACCTCTTTCCGATGTATCTGACTCCTCCATAAGGAATACCATATCCGTAAGAAGAATATCCAAGTCCATATCCTCCATACCCATAACCTCCATACCCGTAGTATGCGTCAGCAGTGGGCTCAGCAGCGGGCTCGGCAGCAGCGGTAGGTTCGGCATCAGCGGTAGGTTCGGCATCAGCAGACCTCTTTCCATATACACGTCCATATCCACCATAGCCACGGCTGAAGCTACCATATCCACGGCTGTAGCCACCATATGCACGTCCATAATATTGGGCATCAGCAAGAGCTGCGCCAAGGACAACAAGGAGAGCCTAGTGGATAAATATTAGATTTATATCATTTAAAGGAGGTGTTCGGGAAAAATGAAAAGGGGTATATATAGGCTTACGGCGAAAAATAAGCGCTTTTCATCGCTACTAATCTTTCTTCTAATCGTTGCGTCTATAACGAGAAAAATTTCAAAAACGAATTGTAACAAAGAACGTAGCGTCCATACAAATTCAGAAAGTTGCAACTATAACTCGGATCGTAAAAAAATCAATTTAATTTCAAACAAATCATTCAGATATTACAATTTATAGTCATCGATTATTTTTCGACGCATTTCTATATAGTTGATATTTCATAATATTTAAAAAAAAAAATAATATTCAGCTCTAAACTTATTTCACAACTAACGCTGGATTTTCGATCATTCCTTGAAAATGTGAAAATGTCGTCTTCATTATTAAAAATCTTCAAAACATGAAGAAATGTTTTCAAAAGTAATTCTCAGATCATAACAAATAAAAAATATTATGAAATTCAACTATAAACGAATGCGTCGAAAAATGATCGACGATTATAGTTGGTAATATCTGAATGATTTGATTGGAATTAGAATTAATGTTTTACGATCCGAGTCCTTATGCAACTTTCTAAACAAAAAACAAGAGGGAACGAAAAAAAGAAGGATACAAAGTAGGTAGAAAAAGATTAGGGAGAAAGTTAAAAAAAAAAATGATAGAAATAGAATAGAAAAAATGAAAGAAAACAAAAGAAAAACGAAAGAAAGGTAGGCAAAACAAATAGCAAGATAGAAACGAAAATGAAAACAAATAACTAGAAAATAGATAGAAAAAAGATGTCATAATAGATAGATATAGATTTGCAAAGACACTGCACCCCCTCTGCAAAATTTGAGGAACGTCCCTTTTATTCGGTTTCAAGAATACGTTGTGGATTCAAATAAACCCCCTTCCCCTCCATTTGTTAGTTTAGTTAAAATATTTCTTCCAGGGATAAATTGATTTCGTAAAGAATAATTAGAAAAAATCTATTTTACTATACAGTGATAACCATAAAACTTAGTAAGACGACTTTTGGAATCAAGTTCTGTCTTTAAAATAAACCAATGCACACAAGACACGGCAAGCGCAGTGTAAACAGACCCATTTCACTTAATAAATGATTATATTAGTTATTAGTAAAAATATTCGCTTTGTGACAACATCAACTACATTTAAATATAGCTCAAATGTCGTCATTCCACAGTTTTCTGATTTTAACTGTAAGTTACCACTATAAAAAACTGTTTTGCTGTTGTCTTTCAATTTCAAGAATGCAAAACTAGAAATTGAAAACTTGCTTTGCATATCAATACAATGCTTTTCTTGTATTGTTTTAAACTATCAAGAACAAATTTTACAGATACAACTTCAAAAAATAAAGCTCAAAAGATTACTAATTGTCGTACCCTGCAAGCCTTCATTAAAAACGACAAAATTGTAATTTTTTCTTTTTTTTCAGAGGCAAGAAATTTGAAATAAAATGAGAATAAAATACTGTGTAAAAGGAAGGCGGCATTTCTATTGATTCAGAATAGACACCAAACACATGGCTGAACTCTGATTGGATCAGGCACTAATGGAATTTGATGTTACAAACATACAAGGGAAATAGTTTTACTACAGTGAAACCCTTAATAATGAATACATCGAAAGAATTCATCAAATGTCGTATTCTTCACTTTCTGATAATGGAATGTTGCAGATATTTAGCATTTTAATTAAATGATTATATGGAACTCTTTAAAACTGTTTCCGCATATTCATGGCTATTTATTTATTTTCGCAAATACTGAAATTTACGTAATATAGTATAAAACTCATTGAAAAATTGTCAAGACGACATTTGATAAATTCTTCCGATGTATTCGTTATTAAGGGTTTCACTCTATAAACAAATTTATAAAGATTGAAAGAAAGATGATAAAACAAAAGAAAAAAGAAGAAAAAAAGAGGAAAGACAGGAAAAAGGAAGACTTATGATGTTGAGAAAAAAGAAGGAAAGAAAGAAATAGAGAAAGGAAAAAGTAAAAAATAAAAGGAAGAAACATGAAAATAATAAAAGAAATTCATGAAATTATGTTGAGAATATTTAAATAGTGAAAAGAAAAAAAGAAGGAAAGAAAGAACTATAGAGAAATAGAAAAGTAAAAAATAAAAGTAAGTAGAATGAAAATAAGAAAATAAATGCATGAAGTTATGTTGAGATAAGTAAAAATAGGAAAGCAGAAGGAAAGAAATATGAAACGAAGGGGAATGAAAAATATAGTAATACAAAATAGTTTTCTTCTTTTCCTTACCAGATACTTGATCATGGTTGATCTATTGAGCTATTGGAACTAATCCTCAGATGTCCTTCTCCTCCTTATATACCTCACTCAGAGACATTAACGCGGGGCTGGGCTCTGCCAGGATGGGCGCGGTATTTTATAGCTTTTACTTCTAAATGTCAGAGTTGAAATTTCTTTATGCAACGCTTTCTTCCTACGTAATAACTAGGTTTATAAAAGGCTAATAGAATAGAATGTTAAAGTGCGAATCTACGTTAAGAGTTTCTACAGGATTTCAAAATCACATTTATTTTCTTACGAAGTTAAAGCAGGGTTAATCAGTCTTAGCCAATTAACAATATTCAATGTCGTATTCGATTTTCTTTAAGCTACAGGGTGTCCCACGAAACATGACAGTATGCAAGACAACTTGAATATCGTCTTGATTTTTGATATAATTTGCTGCATTTATTTGTCAACCTTTTTTCAGAAGTAAATTTCTTGAGATAATAGTCACAAAATTCCCCTAGTCCTGCCATTTCTAAAATGTGGTCTGCATTTTTTGTGCTTTCAACATTGCCCGAGATATGAACAATTTTATTCAGATATCGACAATTTTGCTTTTATTTAACAAAATTTAAATCTCAACCAAACTCTTTATATCTCCGGTAATATTGAAAGCACAAAAAACGCAGACCACTTTTTGGAAATGCCAGGGCTAGGAGAATTATGTGATAATTGTTTCAAGAATCATACATGTTCTAGTAGATAGAAGACTAAATGTCACAAATAAATTCAAAAATCAAAGACGACTTTCAAGTCGTCTTGCTATTGTCATGTTTCGTGGGACACCCTGTATAATCTATCTTTATCTATGGTTCTATGTCTTTTAAGTTCTTAATGTAATACAAATCTACAACATTTGATACATTTTTGGTAAGCCCTTAATCTGCAAAAAAAATTACAAATTTTTAAATGTTCAAATATGTATTGCAATATCAAGTTATTAAGTAAAAAATGTGCAAAAACAAAAAAATGCGCGAAATATGGTAAATGATACATTTTTAAAAAGCCCTTGCCATGTTGAAATCCAATTTGACTTCAATGGGGATGCATCTCATGACATTCTGGAGTAAGTGTTGGGTGAGGGCAAAGCTGTCAAGGTCCTCCAGATTGTAGAACTACTGTATGATTTCAATTGGATGGCTTGAAGTGTCTTGGTCTTAAGCTACTTCTTGAACTGATACATATTGGGGAATGAGGTCGAAAATCTGGTTTACCTCACTGCCAAAGATGTTGAAGCTCCCGAATTCTTCAATTACCTTGATTTTGAAGTTGTTCCAGCTCGTGATGTTGTTGAGGGGTCCCATCTTATCCAGGGGGATGGCATTGAGGGTGAGCACCAGCTTCATAGAGTCATCATGTCTGGTCAGGGTGAATCCGTGTAGGATGGAGGACAGCCAGGGGTATAAATCATAGGTTTGGCCAATCCAGTTGGCAGTGACGAGTTTGGGGGGCTTGAAACTGGGGGAAAGGTGTTGGGTTGGAGTGGTTTAGGACTCGTCCGTTGGGTGGGGAGGCGGGCAATGTGGTGTTCATGGCGGTGTGGGAATCCAGGATGTTCATGGCGGTCAGTTGAATGGCACAGAGGGCAGAGTGCCATAAAGAGGGAAATCTATGTTTAGGTTTTTCCTGTACAAGAGGTTGATATCTTACAGTTCATGGGTGTTATTCATCTGGATTGCTCTTTGGAATGCAGATGTGAGGAGCAAGATGTGGTGGTTAGCAAGTGGTTGAGGGAGGACGATGGTGGGCAGAGAGGTCAGGGTGGTATTGCTGTTGTTCAGGTCTACATCAAGATTGCGAATGTGGTTGGTTGGTGTGCTACAGATCACACAACCCTGTAGAAGGCAGGGAGAGTTCCTGGTGCATGCTTTCTGAGGCTCATGGCAAGGGGTCTTGGTGTTGTCTGAAGGGACAGTATTCTGTTGGAGAGGTTGAATGATGTCCATCTTGTTCTTGATTGGTAGTTTGAAATGTAAGAACTTGAGGGGGGTCGTTACTTTGATGTTAGGTAGGTAGGTTGGTTAATTGGCTAATTGGTTTGTTGGTTAATAGGTTGGTTGGTTAGGTTGGTTCGTTGGTTAGGCTCCTCAATTCGGACACAGTAGTCTCCAATAATCAGTAAATAGATATATTTCAAACCTGTAAATAAAATACATATATAGTAAAAAATAAAAATGACAACGTATTAATTTGGTTGAATATTTAAGATATATACTTACAAGTTTTCCGTGACGAAGTGAAAGGGGTGATTTGGGTTTGAGGGTTCGATGGAATAATTTAAAACATTTGTAAATACTTCTGAAAATATAAACCTGTTTTTTTTTTAAAGTGGAATTAACTATTGATTGCAAAGCTATTTATGGATTTGATCTTTCACTTAGCAAAACGTTTCACTGTTTGTTGTTTCTTTGTCGGAGAATAAAAATAAATTTGAACAGGGACTTGCTGCAGGGGGGGGGTGGGGGTTAGAAGTTGTATTTATTGTCAACAATGGTTTACTTAGTTATTACTTTTGGATATCCCTACTGAATTTCGACCGATAAGAGTTCTCCCATTGAGGCGCGTAAATTTTCATAATTTCTCAGCTTTTGATTGGCTGTTCAGTTTCTAAAATTGACACTCTGATTGCTTGCATTTAGATACTTTTCTCAATAATAATGTAAGATGAATATACATAAGAGTTCCCAGTTTAGGCCATATAGATAATATATATATCTATGCTCTCAACTAATTTTCATATATATATATATATGATATGATATATAGATAATAAGAATGCATTTAGTGCATATTTCATTTATCTCGTTTATAAAGGTGATCTTGTAGTTGGAGTCATCGTTGAAATCTCATCAGTATATAGAGGGCACGTTTATTATTGCAACGCTTATCTTCATATATATATGTTCTATGCATAGATAAATAAATAAACATAGATAGCTTATGTACGCAAAACATAGAGAATAGAATATATAGAGAGGAATTAAAAGAATCTCTCGGTATGAATTTTTTCAGTCCCTTTCAGCCTGAAAAGGAGTTCAAAGTGTACAAATCATGTAAATGTTCACAAATTATATGCAGTAGAGTACATTAATACAGTATGTTCCCTAGACTATCCATTTCAATTTCAAATTTTTTAAACTGTTAAATAAACTTTATAATGAATTAGGTGAATAAAAACATCATTTGATTTATAGTTATAACGGAAAATCATCGTTTGTAAAGTCGAAGGCATATAGTCTATGTGAAATGATCATTGGTCAATTATGAAACCAGCCTATTTCATAATTTGGTTTTCTTTTAACAATAATTTTAGATTTTCTATAAAATGATATTCCAGGGCCCAACAGGTTATATAGCATAAATATGTGAAGTACACCTGCAGTATGGAAACAGTACAACAAAATGGCCGTTTTACACTTTTTTCCAGTAAATTCCTCTCTATATATTCTATTCTCTATGACGCAAAATCATCAAGAATTGTACAGTCCGCGAACTCATACCTCTAGGGGTCAAAGTGTACTTCAATGATAAGCGGGGTGGTTTGGTGTTTTAATGGATTTCATAATAGAGTGTAAAATAACTCCGGGAATGGAACTATTTGAACATCAATATTACACTGAGAAAAATATCATATTGACGAAAACTGAAGAACTAACTTAAATTTCTCTCTACAGAACTCATGTACACCACAAGTACTCAATAACATAAGAACAGCCAATGTTCACAACCGACCTAGTTAATCTATATAATAGGAGTATCTTTAAAACATTTCTTTACATTTATATCTTTCAAGATGAAAAATGTCGTCTTATGCGCAATCTATCTTTATCTATGGTTCTATGTCTTTTAAGTGATCCTAATATCTATGAATTAATAGTACCAAAGTTGACTCCTGACTCCTCTCCTGACTCCTCACTCCTGGCTCCTGGCTCCTGGCTCCTGGCTCGATCCTGACTCCTGACTCCTGACTCCTGACTCCAAACAATATGAAGCTGGTTTAAGTTTCTATGGGAATAGTTTTAACCTTTCCAACTAGATCTCACGCCTTCTACAGGGTGTTTCAAACCAATTCATATTCATCATTTACAGGGTGTTTCCAACCAATTCATATTCATCATTTACAGGGTGTTTCAAACCAAATCATATTCATCATTTACAGGGTGTTTCAAATCACTGCCATCTTCATGCACATTCATCTTTAAAGTTTGATTCTTTGTGGTTAACAAACACTGAATATATGTAAACTGTAATATAAACGGTTCACAATTCTGTAGATATCATGAGTAAGTTTTATATTATAAATTACACAGTCTTATAACCGTGTTACCTTATCAGTCACGTATTGAACACCTGAAAATAAACAGTATGTGGATATTGTATATTGCATGTATTATATCGTTATAATTAAACAAGACATATTTCATATATCTTTATCTCTGGCCGAAATTTTTTTTTTCACGGGCAACGCCGAGCCCTTCAGCTAGTAAACAATATTTTCATATATAAACAAACACGATTATCATGTACAGTATATTTTAAACGTACTTAGTTGTACACTCTATAAAATGTACATCCTGTACAACTAACTGCTGATTTTTAGAATTTAAAAAGAATATGCATAATTGGATGATATCATCACAACCTAAGATGCATTTTACATCTCTCTAGTAAATGGGTATTATTGATTTTTCTGCACTCTTTGGAACGATTGTAGTCGTTTTCTTTGAATTTTCAATATTAATATGAAGATGATAGCTATGTATTTATATTTAATATTATTTCACATAAAATTACATAAAATTACATAAAATTGCTTAAAGTTTGAATAAAGATTCATAAATTTACCTAAAATGACATAAAATTACAAAAATTACAGAAAATTACATAAAATTATTTAAAATTACTTAAAATTACAAAAATTACATAAAATTGTATTTTGGTGTTACTTAACCAACAAAATAATTCGTATATATCTACATCAACCGTTTATTTTTATCTTCAGTTTTGATGTTCACAATTTATTTTCATTCCTTCACTACACATCGTTATTCAAAAATCATTCGAAATAAT